AAAACACCAATGCACATTCAAAAAAAATTTTTTTAATTGTCCCATTCTCTTATCTGAAAAAGAGAGGACCTCACTGGAAGCCGTTCCGATTACGAGTGACACACGCAGAGTGGTCACAACTCCTCCAGTCACACATGAACCACATGTTGCACCAGCTTGTATCTTGTATGGCCACACATGCCATTTCAAATGCTTCTTCCTCGGCTTTCCCCAGATATACCTGTGTTCCTGCCATTCCCTTACCAGTACTGAGCAGGCTCCTGGGACCATGTCCATGCGTCTCCACTCCTGTTATCTGGAGGGTTGGCACCCAGTCTCAATATCAAAGCATCCTACTGAGCCAGGGCCTGGCCCCACTCAGAAGATACCTGCACTGAAACAATTTGTAGTCAGTGCCTCTGATCTAAATGGTGCTCAAGGGGCCACAACAGACCAACTTTATATAGAGAAAAGCAGATAGAAACAAGAAGTCCCTGGGAAGGTTTCCGTTATGTTTTGATAGTCTTTCTAGATAATGCAGGCTGCTTCCTCTGTGCAGCAGAATGCAAGACCGAAACTGCAATCTTGCTGTCCCCGCCTCTGAAGTACCTGGGTTACAGGCATGTGCCGCCACTGCCAGCACCCCCCGAGGATCAGACATACCTGTCTCATTTTGTGTGTCAGGCTCCCCATCTTCAGCAAGGTCACACAGATACTGTGGCAGTAACACAGTTCATGTCAATTCAATTTTTTGATTTATCAAAGCATTGGTTTTTTTTTTTCATTAAGTTTCATGATGTTGAATACAGAAAGAAATCAAGAAGAGCCAGGTATGGTGGCACACACCTGCAATCCCAGCACTCGGGAGGTAGAGGCAAGCAGATCTTTCTAAATTCAAGGCCAGTTTGGCCTTTTCAGTGAGTTCCAGAATAGCCAGAACCGCATACAGAGAAATTCAGTTTTAAACAAAACAAAATGCCAAAAGAAGCTAAGTTCTATTTGCACAGTCGCTCTGATGCTAAACCTTGAGCTTCCCCATGTTCTCTAAGAGTCCATGACTCTATGTAGGTGTACAGCCCTGAGCATACAGGAGATGCTCGATGTGCTGAGCTCATAATAAGGATCATCACGAGTTTACCAACTGATTTCTACTGTTCGGTGGGTTACAAATCCAAACCCTGAGCTTTAGTCTTAATTCTACAACCCAGTCTCCTCCCAAACAGAAGGTCTGATGAGCTTAAGAACCTGAAGAGGTGCAACACGGTAGAACACAGGTCCTGACGTGTAGTTTAGAGCAAAGGACTGGAGAGTGACCTTGGGTACCTAAGTCTCCTGCCTTTCTTCCAGGGGGCCCAGCTCCAGCCCTGAGTCCTAGGAAAGTAACTCAGCTCTACCCCCATCCTCCGCTGCCCTCTGTTGCTGTGTGTTAGAAGTTTCCTGGGACTTCCTCAGGTCTAGAAAACACCCACCATTCTCCAACCTCCCATGCTGCTCAGGTCTCATTGCATTAGATTGAAATTAGAAACGAGAAAGGTAAGTGTGACAACTGTTAGTTCAGACTAAGAAAAGAGCCATTATCCTCCCGAGAAAGAAAAAAAAAAAGCACTCTCTTTGGAGATGGCCTTCCCCTTTGGAACATTGGAGTGCTATCCAAGTGTCTGGCAGACTTAGAAGAAACAAAGACACGCTCACTTCAAATTCTCTAAAGTTCACAATTAGGGGCATAATTTTGCCATCAAAATCCCATCCTTAATCCTGAAGAGAAGACTCGGTAGTTAAGCATGCACCCTGCTCTTCCAGGAGACCCAGCATTCCACAGCATCCACGTTAGGCAGCTCCCAGCTGCCCGGCATTTCCAGCTGCAGGGGATTCCACTCCCTTTTCTAGCTCCCGAAGGCACCACCCACACGCAGCATACATTCTCAAGTTAAAAGATTCCCCAGGCCTGGATGGATGGTTCAGTGAGCATGTATTTACTGTTCTAGGGAGCAGAGCTGCATTCTCAGCACCCATGTCAGATGACTCACGGCTGCCTGCAACTCCAGCTCCAGATAGGACTTCTCTGGCACAGACCAGAACGAATAACACATGATTTAAAATAAACCTTAAAAAAAAAATCCCACCCTGGAGCTGGAGAGATGGCTCGGTGACTAAGTACACTGACTGCTCTTTCAGGACACAGGTACAGTTCCCAGCACCAGATGTCTAGAGCTCCAGTCCCAGGAGATCTGACACCTCTCCTGGCCTGCCTGAACACCAGGCATGTACACGGTGCACAGACACTCTAGCAGGCAAAACACCCGTACATATAAAATAAAATTAAACTTAAGGGTAATTCTCCTTTGTGTTAGGGTTAAATGTGTGTAAATCTCTTAAGATCATGTTTGGTAAGACTTGCTACAGAAGTTTTTTGTTTTTTGGTTTTTTTTCCCTAAAAACTCAACAAGGGCCAGGATGACTCAGTGGGTAGAGATTTAGCATTGAGCCTGACAACCAGGGTTCCATCCCTGGAACCCACAGGGTAGAACCAACTCCAAGTTGTCCTGACCCCCTCACTCATGTTCTCACATACAAAAGCAATAAAAACTTTTAAAAAGTGTGGTTGCTGGGTTTGGAGAGATAATTTAGCAATTTAGAGCACTGGTTGCTCTTCCAAAGGACTGGAGTTCAATTCTCAGCACTCAGATGGCAACTCTCTGTCTTTGGGAAGCTGGCATCTTCACACAGACATACATGCAGGCAAAACACCAAAGCACATAAAAATAAATCTTTTTTTTTTAAATGTGGTAGTCTCTGGGTAGTGGTAGCCTTTAATCTCAACACTTGGGAGGCAGAGGCAGGCAGATCTTTGTGAGTTCAAGGCCAACCTGAACTACAACCTGAGTTCCAGGACAGTCAGAAATCCTATCTCAAAATAAACAAACAAACAAAAAGCGTGACTGTCACGACACAATGGCAAAACCAAGTAAAAGACAGCTGGGAGCTGGCTTCAAACTCCACACAGGTTCCCCACCCCAGTTCAGGAAGTGATTGCTTCCTTAGGACCTAACAATTCTGGACCCTCAGTAAGTGCTCACTGTCCTTAAGCTTTCTCCAGTGACTATGGGTCTAGGAGGAGAACAATGGGAACCATGAGCACACCTCAGCCTAACCAAAGTCAATGACCTAAATGGTAGTTCTCCCAGTACATAAACCTACTCAAAGATAGAATTTGGGAAAGGCGATTATGATGGTTTAGATTATCAGTGACAGGATGAGAATCACTTGGAGACAAAGCTTTGGGCATGTCTCTTAGTGGTTTTTCTAGATTGAGCATTGGTATTCCCCTCTGCTTCCTGGCTGCAAATGCAATCTGACGAGCTGCCTCAAGCTACTGCTGCCATGGCTTCCACACCATGGTGGGCCACACTCTCACACTGTGATCCAGAATAACGCCTTCATTTGCCTGTGTCAGGTATTTTGTTGCAGCAAGGTAAGTCACCAGTCCATTGCACAGAATTTTCTCCCCTAGGAAGACTTGGGCTTTAAACTTCTGACAATCCTATCAAAGGGTGCCTAGACTCACTAATTTGTTTACTTTCTTTTGGCCACTGCAGAGGATGAACCTAAGTATCAGAAGGCTCCACAGCACTCCAGGAAACAAAACAGTGCTATCTGGTGGCCAAGGCTGGAGCGGCAGCCAGAGAACAGGTTGAGTCAATCTGGAAATGAGCTGTGGAGTCCCTTATCCGAGTACTGCCACTGCCTTCCACTCCCACCCCTTTTCCTTCCGGCACTACTCCACTTGAACCGATGAAAAGTCCTACTCATTTACTTTTGCTACTCAGTGGGTGGAATGGTGAGGGACATAGGTAGTAGTTAGAAACAGAGAGAACATGGAACATGCAGAGTCTCAAAGCCACCAAGGCGTCTCAGTTTTCCAAGGCATGGCAGTGACCAGACATTAGTACCCAGCACCTGCTTCCTGACTGGTGAGCAGTCATGGCACACAGCACTGACCGTGTGTTCTGTCTCCATGGAGCAGGGGAATCTGAGCAGGAGGTATTTTACTCCTGAGTGGCCATTTCATGACCATTTTAAGACTTCTCTAAACGGCACCTCACACCAGGGTCACACACATAATGGTTGGTTGATGAATATAGGTTGAACCCTAGGGACATATGCCCGCCCTACTCAGAGATGAAGCACTCACCAACCTCAAGGACAATATTCTACAGTCTCTGGAAACTGCCGGAGGTTTTGGTCAAGGAAGTAATGAGCCAGAACAAAATGTTCTTAAACCCATTCCCAAAGTTTACCTCTGCTAAGTCTATGTTAGTAGCCTTTGTAGTTTCTACATGCATGAAACACTTGCTCTTTCCACTCTTGAGGGTGGTGCTAAGGTGAGAACAGTTCCAATTGGATCAAAAAAGCTGAAGGTTACCAGGATTTGTCTCCTGGGAGCTTAGGACAGACGCCTTGCAAGAGCTTTGACTGATTTGCAAACACCAGGCAAGTCTTAGCCACCAGGGACTACCCTCAACTCCACCTCTGTGTCCCTAGTTGACCATGCTCATGGCCCTTGCCTAGAGAGCACTTACAACCTGTTGCAGGCCCTCATCCCTTATCAACTTCAAAGTATAATAAATCTACATGGTTATGATGCAGATTAAAATTAGATGCACTTTTTCCAAATCATATGTACAATGGCTTTCTGTTGTGCATGCTCACAGCAAAGCCAGGACAGTGGGACGGCACTGGCAGGGGCAACAACACTGCTCAACTTCTAGTATAAAGCTTTCCACATCGTTGGTCTATCTTACATTGGAAGGCAAATGTTTAAGGTAACCCTGTGATCTCTACTTGCCTGAAACAAGCAAACTCACTATGCCATTCCTCTATCGCAAGGCAGGTTATCCCAAAAATTCAAAACACAATTGAACTTACCAGTTCACAGCCCTTTACCCTTTATCCCAGAACCCAAACTGGGAGTGTTGGCTGGCTGGAGATGCCTCATTTACACTGATTAAAATGTACAGAAACATTTTTATGTAATGCTTAAACATGAATTTTGTTTACATAGGTCTGCAGAGTGAAATATACCTTACAAATTGATTATGCCTGGAAAATAGATTTACAACAATATTGCTTTATACCATTTTTGTTTAGAACTTTTTAGCAGCATTTTCTTTACAAGTTACATATGAAGCCTCTCAAGCAGATGAGAGACTTGAGCCACATGCAAAGGACCAAGGGAGAAGCCATAATCTCCGGAGTTTCAGTCACTGTTGAGGAAGGGCACTCCAAATGGAGCTCACAGGTACAGCGTCTTCACGGCTCTTCAAAAGTTCTTCATAAGCAGTATTCCCGAGTCAGGATTTCTGCAGCATCATGGCAGGAGGAAACCTGGGCCTCACTTGTGCATGCTAGGCTAGTGTTTTCAGAGCTTCATCCCCAGTTCAACAGAACATTTTAATATAGGCTGATGGTAGCACACAGACTAATATATGTCAGTTTGTTACTGAATGACCAGCTATGTCTTAAAGCTTACTGATCATTTCAAATGCCTGCTGTCCAATTCACCTCCTGTTACGAGTATATAGGAATCTATTCCAGTTACATGGAACACCCCAAGCACAACTGGGCCCAAAAAAACAACCATAGGCGCTAAATCTCATCATGCCTGCTCCAAAACATAAGCAGGTCTTACAGGACTACCAAATATCCATCCAGATGGAATGGGAAGAGGGACATGTAGAAATCCACAACAAAGGCCGCAGGGCTGGAGATGGTTCACAGTGCTTGTTGCAGAAGCCTGGCAGCCCACCGTGGTCCCTGGGAAACAGGTAAAGACAGGAGAACTGACTCCACAAGACATCTGGAGTACAGCCCTGCTGAGAGAAGCCCAACTTCAACCACCACCAAGGAAGCACCTACTGCCCTCCAGCTAATCGATTACACATGACACCCAAAGCCATGACTCACTGCTTTGGCTTCTGGAGGCAGTCTTACTAACCCAGGATAGCTTCAAACTCACAATCCTCCTTACTCGGCATCCTAGGTGCTGAGATTACAAGTGTGTGCCACTACACAAGCTTACAACACTGCTTTTAATGGTGGGCAAACTAGGAGCATCTTCACCACTTCTACCAAATCAGATCAGAAGATCTCTCTCTCTCTCCTCTCTGACAGAATGAAGCAGGTTTGTATTACTGTCCACCACTGAAGTGGCACTTCACTCTCCCAAGCCCCAAGTGAGCCTCTTGACAGCAAGGTCAAATTATGCTTTCTCTAGCTACAGCTTTATATATAGAAAACAGGCTCTTTATGCTCCACAAGAGGCCTTCCGGTAACAGTCACTCAAGTGACGTAGAGTGTTCTGTCCCAGCCTTTGCTGCAGAGTGCTCCAATCTCGCTATTTGCCCCCCTCCTGACTAAGGCTCTAACTCCAGTCCTCTTCTCTAAGTCCAAGGACTGCAGGGCCATTAAGATGGAAACTCATGTGTCAGCTGCCATTTTAATCTTATATCCAATGTTCCTCTAAATCAGTGGTTTTCACCCTTCCTAGTGCTGTGACCCTCATGTTGTAGTGACCCCCAGTCAAAAAATTACTTTCTTTACTACTTAAAACTGTAATCTTGGTATTGTTAAGAGTTGTAATGTAAACACTTTTGGAGATAGAGTTGCCAAAGGGGTCTTGACCCACAGGTTGAGAACCCCTGCTAAGGTATCAGCAAGCTTCAAAGCTAACACATAATGAAATGTATTTTTTAATAAAGCTTTAGTTTGTAGTCAGGACAACAGGTGGCCCAAGTTGGAAGCTGAATGGCTCTAACATCTGCAGTGTTAGGTACTGTACAAGGTAGCATAAATAAATACACCTGAAGAAATCCTAGGTGTCATTTGATTTTGACTCATAGTATGATTTTGTGCAGTTGACACTTCTGTTGTGGTATCGATTTGACACATTAAAAAAAGAAAAGAGAAAAAAACATGATTCCCACTGTGGGAGGAGACTGTTCAAATCTCCCATCAACGAAGTAGTAGCTATCTCAGAGACTGTGCACAAGGTCCACATGAAAATCTGGTGAGGGGTGCAGAGAGAGCTCATGTGGCAGAGTGACTGCCTGGCATGCACAAGGCCCTCAGTTTGATCCCTGGCATCACATAAACTAGGCATAGTGGTGCACACCTACAACCCCAGAATTCAGGGGTAGAGGCCTGACAACAGTCAGTTCAATGTGATCCTTGACTACATAACTAGCCTGGATCACATGACACTCTTACCTCCAATGAGCAAACCAAACAATTAAGACCTGGAGGGAGAAGGCTCATACTAGGGCTGAAAGGCCATCAAGGCAGACTTGTTTTAACAGCAGTTCTTTACTGGTAGTGCAGGATATGAGATCAGGGGTCTTGCTTATACTAGGCAAGCGCTCTACCACTGAGCTGTACCCCTGGTCTCCATAGTGTCCCCTTCAAAGCTTACGTTCATCCCCGGACAAGAGACGCCACAGCAACCAACTGCAGGACACTGCAGACCACTAGGAATTATTCTTAAACAGATTAAATCGTCTGGATTGCATAAAGGGGATAGTATAAATCTCTGCTCCATCACAAACTTTGATGTTTTATAAAGAACTACTAGCTCTACCCACCATCAGGCTTATGGCTATCGACAGTGAGGAAAGCAAGTGTCTGCGACAACTCAGGAGAAGTGAGCACGAGCCTGCTGTTCTGCTCACCAGGAACCCTGTCCCTCTGCAGAATGAAGGAATACCGCTAGGGGCATGGCTGCCTGCAGCCAGTGAAGATGGACAGAACTACAGAATTGGGAGAGGAAGCCCAGGCAAGGCAGGACTGGTAGTCCCAAGTTTCCCTTCAACTGATACAATAAAACCAACTCTCTAAGATGATGAATCCCAGGATCTTAACTCTCGACCAAATTTCCCTGACAAGTCAAATGATAAAAAACATTTCATAAGGACTTATTTCAAGTCTGGACTGATGTGGGAACAACTCCAACATTCTGAGAGCTTATTTATAAAAAGCATGGCTTGAAGGACTGGCTCTGGTCTTTAAAGATAGGGGTTCTTTATTAGTGGAGCATGAAGACAAGGGCTTACCTAAAGAATCAGGCTACAAAGACAGTCTCTGCAAGTTTGAAGGAAAACACACTCCTATTGTAGCCTGCCTGGGGAGAAGCACAAGCAAGCAACCCCTTCTGGTTCCGTTGGACCACAAGGTAGAGGGGCAGAAGAAGCTGCAGTCTAGTGTTACAATAGGACCAAGGATTTATTATTCCACAATATAAACTGCAACATTTGATACAATCTAAAAAAAAAAAAAATAGGGGAGGAAGAATGGGCAGGGACAAAGCCAGAATACAGCGGTGGCGATTACTTACAGCGCAGTCTCTTTCTACATCACTAGGTCATCAGTGACACTAGAAACTAGACATTGCGTTCTGTACATTAACCAAATGCTAAAGCACCAACACACTTTTGAGAAGTTTGTTTTGTTTTAATTCCAGCCACTGAAACCAACATAGAAGTTATTGCTCAGATAAATAAACCTAACCTACCAGAAAGAAAAAGAAGTAGAGAAAGAAAAGAACAAAAACCCCAAAGTGAAAAACTTAAAAAGCCCCCATGTGGTAACAGATTAAGGAGAACAGTCGCTCAGTGAGGGTTACTGGAATTCTGGTGCCCATGCTGGGCCCTGAAACTGAGTTGAACTCTTAAGCCGGTATATCCCAGGCAAAAGTATAATGGTAATGCTGTACACAAAAGGTGCAAACTCCAACACCTTCGAAATCGGCAACCCCTGCAAAAACAGTCAGCAGTTTAATTCGACAACCACAAACAGCTCTTAAGGAAAAAATACAAAAAGTGTCAAAAATTTTTTTAGTTGTTTTTTTCTTTTTTTCAAAGAGTTCTGGAAAAAATGATCCCGCAAGGAATAGAAATAGCACCGTGTACAGGCTGGCTTGACCCCAGTCCTGTAGCTTTGCTGAGATTGAGGAAATCTTCTTTGTTGGAGTCCTGAATTATATGAAGTATGTTTTGTTTTTACTTTCGGCTTGGTGCGTCCTTTGCAGTGCAGCGCACACAGATGTAGTCTTCCTTCTCTGCCATCTCTGGAGAGACACCAACACAGACCTGATGAAACCACTGATTGCAGCTGCCATCACACTGGACCCAGTCCACCTGGTTACAAAGAGCAGGAAGATGGGGTGTTCAGAGGAAAAAAATGCCATTCAAAATTGGGCAGGCCAGCCTCAAGATATTCAGGCCGTGTGCGACTAATGGCCACTGTCTCAGCACTGGGGCCTCTGGCACAACAGCTAACCACAGGAGTCTAGCTGTCCCACCGCCAAAGCAACCGAGGCAGAGTCACTCTTCAAGTTGTGCCTGCTTTGGGGTAGACAGCGCTGCCGCTGCCCTGGGACCGTAAGCACAAGGGCACTCCATCAGCATCCCTCCCACCTTCCGGGCGCCGGGTGGCGAAAGCTGGAGGAGCAAGAGAAGGAAAAAAGGGAAGAACCAGAGTTTCTTCAAGAAAAGGGAGGAGACCCAGGACCGATGGTTAAAAGCAGAGATATCAGTAGGGGAACTGAGCAATCCATTCAGATCAGCTCAAAGCAGACAAGCAGAGGAGAGAGCCCCGAGGAGATGAGGTCTAGCTTACAGGGTTTCTGAGTTAAGGGGAAGCGTCCTCTATGGCCCAAACCTCACTGACCTCATCGCCTTCTGGCTGCAGGCAGTTCAGAGCGGGACAGACGGCATCTTCATCCTCAGAGTCCTCCTGCTCCGAGTAGGACGTGTCTGAGGGCAGGGAATGCGTTTCAGCATTACGGACTAAGTCATAGCTACGCTCTCTTTCTAATCTGAAATTGTTCATGTCCTTGGGGTGACTCAATTTTATTTTCTTCTTTTGGGGTGTCCGCATTTTTTTAATCCGATCCCACCGTTCACTGGAAAGGCCTTCTCTTTCGGGGCGCCTCTTCAGTTTTCTCTCCAGACTGTTGATTCCATCTCGCTTTCCTCGAAGGCAATCATTCTGGATGGGAGATGGCAAATTCAACTTTAGCCTTCAGTCTGCCCATTACTAAAACTGATGCAACAAAAGAAAATATGCGAACGAGAAACCAAATGATCCCTTAGTGTGTTCCATCTTAACCACTACTACCATCTCCCCGCTCCTAGTCCTCAAGAATAACAGCTTAACTACCAGGATCCTTCCTCGCTGTTTGTGACCTGGGGGAGCACTGGGGAAGGCTGTTAATGATTAATGACATGACTGACCTTCAGAGTAGCCCACTAGCACCAGGAGAGCAAAGATACACACAGACCCTTCTTCTCACCTTGAGTGAGTGACCGGCTATTCTATCAAGTGTTTGTGAAGGACATTCACTCCAGCCCTTACAGCAGTAAAATGATTAACTGCTCTGTAATCAGTCTTCCGGGTACCTCTCAAAAGGGTCTTTTTCATTGAGGTTTCAGACATCCTAGTTCATATTTTTATCCTGATTATATTCTCAGGGCCTTTTTGTGTGACAGGGCTTACAGAGATACAAGAGAGCAGTAGTTCCTTAACAGGGGACATTACAGGGGCTGGGGAGATGTTGCAGCAGTTAATGTTCCTGACATGAAAGCAAGAGGACCAGAAGGAGCCCCCAAATCCATGTCAATATTCAACGGCTGTGGTGGCTTGTCTGTGGTTTCAGTCATGGAAGCTGGCTAACAAGATTAGCCTACCTGCAAGCTCTTTGTCCAATTAAACAATCCTATTTCAATGAATCAGGCAAAGAGCAATCAAAGATTCTAGACATCAACTTCAGGATCCACGTGCACAAGCATACATATACATATGCACACCAAAACATGTACACATAAGCACACATCATACAAAAATACACATGAAAGGGATGGGGGAGTACGGGGGAATAGGACATTACACAGTGTCTTTTGGTATTAAGGATAAATAAGCACTGTCAGCCTCTACGTCCTGGTTTGGAGGAGTGGAGAAAACATTTGTTATCTAGCATCTTTAAAATCTTTACTAACAAAGGCCATTCAACTACAAATTCCATCTTGATCGCATTGCTTTTATAGTGCAAAATAATCTGCTTCTCACTGTTACCTCAACAGAGTGATGAGAACAGGTCCCTAAAAAGAAAGAAAGAAAAAGCCCAGACATAAAAAAAAATCTAAGCCATGACTGCTGCAAATGCTTCAGTGTCTGTTCCATGGAGTTGTGAGGTACAGTTTGCAAGCTCTTATGGCTCAAAGACAGAGCCATCTCTTTCACCCAGTCAGAGGGAAGCGGCACTACGTGCAAATGCTGCAGATGTGCTTCCCGGCAGCTGCCACTCACCTTGTCACTACTGGCTCTAACTGGTGAGCTTCGGTCTGTTTGTTGAGCAGAGCTTGACTTTGTAAGTAAAGTCTGATAAAGCTCCTGAATTTCAGGAAGGGATACCTGGAGCAACTGGGCTTCCATCAATAATTCATTCACTTCTGGACTCACACCTGTTGAAGACCCAATCAGAATGGGAACAGAGAAATTTAGTACATGCACATGTAAGCGTGTCGGATATACAAGACTGTCCCCATTTAGTTTGTTAGGTTTATATAATGTGTCTAAACCATATGTGGTACTTTGTAACTGGCCCTCATAAGCTCATAAGGAGCAGCACTAGGAGATGTGGCTTGTTGGAGTTAAGTATGGCTTTGTTGGAGGAACTGTGTCACTGTAGGGACAAGCTTTGAGGTCTCACATGTGCTCAAGCCATGCCAGTGTCTCAGTTCACTTCCTCCTACCTGTAGTTAAGATCTAGTAGGATTCTCAGTTCCTTCTCCAGCACCATGTTTGCCTGGACATCACCATATCACGCCATGATCTTAATAGACTAAACCTCTGAATTGTAAGCCAATTAAATGTTTTTCCTTTATAAGAGTTGCTGTGGTCATGGTATATTTCTTCACAGCAATAAAATTTCTAAGACACCACAATACAACAAAGAGAGGCTAATGTAGATTCCATAAGACTTTGGTTCCAGGGCAAATACCCACACTTCATCAGAATTCACTCTTCACCTACTGCTAACACAAAAGAGATCACTTCTTCACCATGACAGATCTCACTGTCACAAAAACTGCTGGCCTGCCATGCGGTGGTGGCACCTGCCTTTAATCCCAGCACTCAGGAGACAGTGACAGGCAGATCTCTGTGAGTTCCAGGACTGCCAGTTCTACAGAGCGAGTTCCCAGGACAGTTAGAACTACATAGTGAAACCCTGTCTCAAAAAACATACTGATAAGGATGACTAAGGATCATGATTCCAGTTAACACTTTCTTTAGGCAGTCTTCCTTTGGGAAGACTATGTATGTTGACAATCCCAGCACTTAAGAATTGGAAGTAGGAGGATCAGGAGTTCAAGTTCATCCTCACCTACATAGGGAGTCTGTGGCCAACTTAGGTTAATGAAACTGTCATCTCAAACACACACACACACACACACACACACACGAAGAAGGAAAAGAGGAGGAAGGAGAGAAAAGGAGGAGGAAAAAGCCAGGTGTGATAGCACACATCTGTAATCTCAGAACTTGTCAGACAGAATCTGGACCATGAGTTCAAGATCATTGTCTGGGGTTGGAAAGATGGCTCAGACTGCACTTCCAGGGAATCTGGATTAACTTCCCAGCACCCACATGGTGGCTCACAGATGTCTGTAATCACAGTCCCAGGGATCTGATGACCTCTATAAGCACTGCATGCACATGGTACAGAGATATAGGCAGGCAAAACACCCACACACACATTTAAAAAGGGGGGGAGATCTTTTTCTACTAAACACTGAATTTGAGGCCACCCTTAGCTAACAAGACCTTGCCTGAAGTAGGGAAAAAAGAGAGAGAGAGGAGGTAGGTTTCAAATACGGGTTACCTCTATTATCCTCTGAAAGTCTAAAACAAGTCCATGACTTAGCATCTGACCTAAATACATGGTGCTTGGTGTTAGCTGGTATAGGATTAACTCTTATTCCTCAAAGAAAGAGGATGCATTCCTGTATCCTTTGCATTTAAAAATCTTCAAATATGATCCATCATTCATTATTTAGAAAATGCAAAGTAATACAGGTATTTGATTTTTTGTTTATTTGTTGTTTTTGAAATAGAGCCTTGCTACATAGTCCAGAAGGCCCTGAATTCTTAATTCTCCTGCCTCAGCCTCCTGAATGTGGGTATTATACATATGCAACATCATACCTAACAAGGATATAGAGTTCTATAGGATACTAGATTATCTACTACAAAACCCTAGGCAAGGTGGCCTATTACTATCTACAAATAGTATAAAATAAAATACAAACCATGGAGGGGGACACAACTCTGTCCAGCAGAGAAGGGAGAATGTAAATATGAGCTTCTGTTGTCCCAGTCATCGGGCAAGGAAAAGGATGCTGTACCAGGAGGTTGAGACACCTAATAGAAGAGAAATACCTTATTACAAGGCTTTTGCAAATTAAAAAACACTGACCAGTCCAATGAAAGGAGCTTCTAGAATAATTTCAGCAAGTCTCCTCTGGCATCCAAAAACAGGCCAAACCAACCCTCCCAGAAACAAAGCCATTCAACTTCCCAATTTTTACTCAGACTGATCTCAGAGAGGTGAAAACATTGGGGAAAGAAACCATTTTCTCTTGACAGAACAGATCACACCACCTTCCAAATGTTTATGTAACTCTTTTTACTCAAAGGGCACGCAACAGAGAGGCATGGTGGCATACACCCGTAATCCCAGCGCTTGGGAGGGAACAGCAGGAGGATCAGAAGTTTGAGAACATCCATGGCTCTATGAAAGCCTATCTCAAGAAGACAAGCAATAATTGTGTCCTTTCCCTTAATAAAGTTAAATTCTCAGTACAGTCTTGGAAATACAAGTGATTCATTCTGCTGCTAGCTATCCAAACAGCAACAAATATTTAATCACTTGCAGAAACAAAGACAGGCCATTTTCAGTCCTCACCTGTGCTCTGCTAAGCACTCAACTCCTGCATCTGAGATCAACCAAGCACAAGAATTGTGACTCGCTCCTCTTTCCCTCTCCTTTATGGTGCTGGGGGTCAAGCCCCAGGCAAACACACCAGGCTATATCTAGTCTTCAGCTGTTTAGAGAGATGGGAGTGCCTCTACATTGTCCAACCTGGTCTAAAACTCCTGTGCTCAAGTAATTCTACATGCCTCAGCCTTCTGAATAGCAAAGGGTACAGTTGAGTGCTGCTGTGTTCAGTTTGTAAATATCTTTGTTACAGAGATATATTGTGACAGGTGGCCAGAAAAATGATTCAGCAGGTGAGGTGCTTGCCACTATGACAAATGACCTAAGTTCAAAGATAAGGGCTCACAGGGTGAAAGGAGAGAATGATTCCTGTGTGTGAGCATACAAACACATGTAATTATAAGATCAATTTTAAAGGGGCTGTAGAATTGGCTCAGCAGTCAAGATCACTTGTTCTTGCAGAGGACCTAGGTTCAATTTCCAACACCCACATAGTGTTAACTCCAGTTCCAGGGGATCCAGTGCCCTCTTCAAACCTCTGCCCGCACCAGGCACATACATAGTATACATATACATGCAGGTAAAACACACATACACATAAATAACAAATCTAAAAACAAAACAACCTATTTTTATTTTTTGTTTTGTTTCCAAGACAGGGTTTCTCTGTAGCTTTGGAGCCTGTCCTGGAACTAGTTCTTGTAGACCAGGCTGGCCTCAAACTCACAGAGATCCACCTGCCTTTGCCTCCCAAGTACTGGGATTAAAGGGGCTAGGAAAGTGTGTGCGTGCATATGTGGGGGTGCTCAAGCACCTCCACTGAAACAGTATTTTTGTTTTCCAAGACAGGGTTTCTCTGTGTAGCCCTGGCTGTCCTGTAACTCATTCTGTAGAGGCTCAACCTTTTTAAATGTAAAGATTGACTCTTGCCATTCTAGCTGCACTTTCCTTTATCTTCACACTCTTTTCCTGCAACCCACCTACAGGAGACAACAAGAAACTGACCACCACTGCAATGATGGCCTGAAGAATCTACCTTTTGATAAAATCATGAATAGGAACTTTGGGAGAGAGCTCAGTTTGTAAAGTGTTTGTCCTAAGTGAGAACGAGTTTCTCTCCAGCACCCATACTAAAGCAAGCAAACAGACAAAACAATACACTAGGTACGGCAGCATGAACTAATCATCAATTCCAGCACCACAGAGTAAGTAGGGGGACAAGCAGATCCTTGGAGCCCACTGGCTGGGCAAGCTAGCTTAACTGGTGAGTCTTGGTCTAGTGAGAAACCTTATCTCAAAAAAAAAAAAAAAAAAAAAAAAAAAAGATAGACAGCTCCTAAGGAAGTTGCCCAGGGGTGTACACACACAAATAAAAGGGCAAATGCATCTGCACTCTTGAAATACTATTCTTCCTTAAAGGCTAAAAAGAACAAAGCAAGTGGTGGTTTCTCTTTTTGCACAGTGACTTATATGAAATTTCAATCAAGCAAAATTAAAATAAAACTATATGCATAAATCAAACAGGCATACAGGTTAGCAGAATAAAGCAGAAAAATTATTTATATATACAAAAAGGTACACATGTGCACAACAGAAACAGAATGTCTAAGAAAGACTCCTGACAGTGGAGATACAGCTCATTTGGTCAAGTGTTTGCCCTAGTATCATTCCCCAGAACCAAATAGTCTCCCATGCCTATAACCTCAGCACTCAGAGAGGCAGGAAGATGGAAGTTCAGCATCATCCCCAGACACAGTGACTTCACGACCAGTCTGGGTTAGGGGAGATCTCATCTCAAAAACAAAAAGCAGGACCAGTGAGATGGCTTACAGCACAAAAGCCTGATGACCAGATCTCAGAACCCGTATAGACAGAACTGTTCCATAAAAAACAGCCTTTTGATGTTCATACTCAGGCCCTTAAATCATGCATGTGCACGAGCACACACAATGATAATTAATGATAATGTTAAAGGCAAACAAACAAAAACTCCTGACAATTAGGGATAGAGAAAACTAAAATGACAGAGCAGAGGTAAATGACCCTAACAGGGAAGTGCCATATTGCTAGTGACAGGAAGAGAGATGGTCTCAGGAACAACAACATCAGACAGAATAACAGAGCTATGCAGATGTCAACACCCCACAAAACCCAGGCTCACCTTGTTTGTCTCTGGTGCCTGTCCTGCTGAGGCCTGCCATCTGCTAAACAACAGTCCAGAGCCCACTTGGTCTTGCACAAGTTTTAGATTCCCTGAAGAAAGCAGTTGCTGGGCTCTATGTTGCCAGTTCACGGTTCTTTCAATCATGTAGCGAAGTGCATCCCCCTCAGGAAGACGAACTCGAATACGCTGCAGGGAGGCCAGCAGGGGCAGAATTTTCTCTAATGGAGGCTTCTCTGATCTCCGACAATGAGGACAAAGCCAGATTCGGGGGCTTTGTGAAATATTAGGTACTGCCACACAACTGGTGTGGAAAGCATCGCGGCAGAGTTCACACTGGATCATGGGAGTAGCTGGTGTCTTCTGACACAGGCAGACTTTCATCTCTACATCTTGGACAGGTGACAGCAATTTCCCTTCATTGGCAAATCTGAGAGACTGCAAAGCTTCCATCTCTCTTAGGCGAGCTTCCCCAAGAGTTGCCATCTGAAAAGGAGTTAGCCATCAAGGATTTGGTCACAGAGAACTATCTTCTACAACTCTAAGTTCATTAGATGCACTCCAAAGTAGATTCTCTGCACTCAAATCCAGAGCAAGCTCTGTCTCAAGCTAAGCCACATTCCACTGCCAACATTTGCAAACACTACAAATGAGAGGCGCCTAGCACACAGTATCAACAATCACCTAACCTCTTAAAAGTCTGACCTGTACATTTATGGCCTGAATATTTACTTCTATGAAAAGACTGGTGCTGATATTTTCTGTATGCCCATTTCTGACCTTCTCTACTAGGTTTCATTCCCTTAGATTGGGTGGCCTTCTAGGAAGGAACATAACAGAAAAGTCTAGAGCCAGGTGTGGTAGCTCAAGAATGAAAGCATGGCACTCGGGAGACTGAGTTTGAGTCTAGCATGAGCTTCAATTCAGCCTGAACTACAATGGGGCTAGGCACGTGTGTGCGTGCGTATGTGGGGGTGCTCAAGCACCCCCACTGAAACAGTGTTTTTGTTTTCCAAGACAGGGTTTCTCTGTGTAGCCCTGGCCGTCCTGTAACTCATTCTGTAGAGGCTGGGATTAAAGGTATGTGCCACCACAGCCTGGCCATAACAGCTATCTTTAAACTTGACAATTTTAAAAGACATTTTGGCAAAGTCAAGCACTTTTCAAGTTATCCCACTAAACGTGCTAATATTCCACATAGTACCTGAAAGGGTAATAAGCGATCCTCCCTAAAAACAAACCAGAAAAAGACATTCTACTACGTACAGCTGAAGCAGTCTCTTTGCTTTCAGTTAAGGCCCTCTCCAGGTCACTCAGACTCTCTAATTTGGTGCTTTTCTTCTTCCCAGTTGGTAAAGGCTCCTTCAATTTTCTCTGTTTCCTTTTCAACCCCAAAAGGCCAATATCACAACGAGGACAAAGCACCTAATGTGAGAGAAAACACAACCATTGTTCAAACAAATTTCAGATTAGGTAAGTTAACAGACTTTAAATAGCAGGCTATATGAACATTTTTTATTATCTATCATTTTCTTTGAAACGTGCTGCCTAAGTCTGAAAACTCTACTCATGTGCACATATGTGCACGTGTGTACACACACAAAGAAATGATAAAAAAATGATTAAAGAAAAAAAAGGGGGGGAGAAGCATGCCTGAAAAAAAAATAGAACTTTGTTACAGATTTAATTAAGTAAGTAAAAGTGATATGTGCTAACAGATTACAATGATAAAGCATAAAAATCAGCTTACAAGAAATATAAAAAAAATGCAGCTTAACCACTTTTTATGAAAAGCTGGTGAGGTCATTTTTGTTTATTTGTTTTTCAAGACAGGGTTTCTCTGTAGCTTTGGAGCCTGTCCTGGAACTTGCTCTGAAGATCAGGCTGGCCTCAAACTCACAGAGATCAGCCTGCCTCTGCCTCCTGAGTGCTGGGATGAAAGGTGTGCAGCACTACTTCACCAGTAAGGTCATTTATCGCGTTTACTAAAATGCAGGCAGCTCAGTGATTAAGAACACTGGCTGCTCTTTGAGAGGACTGGGATCCAATTCCCAGTACCCACCCAGTTCATAGCAGTTGCATGGAAACAGACTTCATCTTCTACCATCCATATGCACTGTACACACATGGTGCACAGACACACATGTAGGGAAATATCTATACGCATAAAATAAAAATAGATAAAATGAAGGTAATAAATTAGTCAGATGTAGAGTCTAATTTGACCATAAATAGAAACCTTTACTCAGCCAGGTATGATGTACACATCTGCAGTCCCTAAACAGGAGAGAAAAAGCAGAAGACTGCCACAATTCCAAGACCACCTGGTTCCAGAGTAAGACTCCATTGTACACGAAACAAAACCTAATGGAAACATGTTCTTCTCTAAACATCAATGGACTGTGTATCCTACATGTAGCCAGAAATATTTAAGGTTGCTAAGAACAAGCCACAGTAGATAGAGCCACCCATGAGTGCTGTGGGAGAATGCTCTTGTAAACTGTAAAGATGTCACTCGTTTTGGTTTAATGAAACGCTGATTGGCCATTAGCCACACAGGAAGTATAGGTGGGGTGACCAGACTAGGAGAATACTGGGAAGAAGGGCTGTAGTCTGTAGTCACCAGTCAGTCACAGAGAAAGCCACAGATGAAATGCCTCATTGAGAAAAGGTACCAAGACACGTGGTTAAACATAGACAAGAATTACGGGTTAATTTAAGTAGTAAGTACTAGTTAATAATAAGTCTGAGTTAAGAGGCCAAACAGTTTGTACTTAATATAAGCCTATGTGTATTTATTTGGTACCGAATGGCTGCGGGCCCGGGTAGGAGATAAAATTCCACCTACCAACAAGGTTACTTTTGCATGCTATAGAGAGTATTCGAATTAGAGATGGTTGCAAACTTACCTCTAACAAAGAATATGGAGAATTCTCAGTCAAGAATGTTTTAGAAGCACATTCTTTCCAAGCCTGAACCTCGGCTACTAGTAACTCCAATCTTGGTAAAGAATTCAGATGTACTGGGATAGATCGGCCTCTTGCAACAAGTTCGATGAGTGTTTCTAACACTGGCACACGTCCTCCTGCCTAATAAATTAAGAAAAGAATATTTCTATGCAAAATAGGAAAAGAACAAGAACAATGACCCATGATTTCAACATATTAAATTCACCAAGGGGGGGAGAGCAACATTTGCTTTTCATTTAACAAACAGCCCACAAATTTAGTTAATGCTAGGCTCCAATGGATAAAAAATTGTGAGATAATTATTCCTTTTGCCTGGTTATTCTTACCCACATATAAATTTCTATTTACACCCATTAATAAATTCATGTACGACACTGGTCCTTATGAACAGTAGCAAAGAAATTTACTTCAAAAGAAATAAATTTGAACAAACTTAAGACTTTTGACTTGCATTTTAAGAAAGATAAACAACAGCATTACCCCAATTCACTTGGTCAGTACTGAATTACTAAAATAATTCAGTATAAATTATTCAGAAAACAATTAGAAAGTTGGAAAGTTTAATGCTTCTTAAAACTTTAGCACATAAAAGAATCATTGTGATGGTGGCACACGCCTTTAATCCAAGCACTCAGGAGGCAGAGGCAGGAGGGTCTCTGAGTTCAAGGTCAACCTCGTCTACAAAGCGAATTCTAGGATAGTCAAAGCTATTACAGAGAATCCCTGTCTTCAAGCGCAAAACAAGAAATCATCTGGGAAATTTATTTATACACAGTTTCCTGGTCCCCATCCCAGAGATTCTGACTCCTATGTCAAGGATAGGTCCATGGGCTAAAAAAAAACGGGAGACCATGAAAAGGGGAGAGGGACCCACTGGAGGCTATCCAAGGAGTGGGAGAAGGAAATTAGGGAAACTGTCAAGGAATAAAAGATGTTTTATAGAACTGGGCTGGAAAGAGGTCAACAGCACCAGCTGTTCTTCCTGAGGACTCAGGTTTGATTCTCAGCACCCACAGTGAAGCCATTTTACAGCCACCTATAAGTTCCAGGGGATTCAACACCTTCTTCTGAACTCCTCAGGCATACATATGGTACACAGATATACATACAGGCAAAACAATCATACATATGAAAAATAATCTAAAAAACCTGTACGCATAGTCATTACATGCTTGAGAGCTGTCATATTTTCAGGGTCAAGGGTCTCAGAGCCAGACTAGAGATTTAACACTTGTAAGCTAACAGTTCAGTTACCAGAGGGCTGTAACCTGCTCCACATCCATCTGCTTATCCCCTCTGCTGTCAAACACTGAAGGAAACAAGGGCTGCTGAAAACCACTACTTGAAAAGCTTCTTTCCTACTTCTGTCCAGGTAGGGGGAAAAACCCGCAGCTAATTGCACTTATATTGAGGACATTTTTCTTCTTATTTTTAACCAACCTGCAATGCATCTACATCTTGAAGCCAGTCTCTGGCTCTCTGCACTGAATCTTTTAAGACTGCACCATTGGGCAGATAGGCAGGGATCTCCTCAATCTCCTTTACTGCTGTAGCAAGGCTACTCAAAGAATGCCGTGGTCTATAAAAGCAAAACACAAAGAATCAGAACTGCATTTTTCTTAAAGTTTCCAAAAGACTAGGAAAATAATTTCTAAACAAATTCATCATGGTTTACAAAAAATCTTTATTAAGGGTACTGACCACTACATATCAAGTAAACTCATTTGAAATGATTAAGATTGAAGAGCAAGTAAGATTGTCATCATTTTATTTTATGTGTGTGTCTAAGTGTGTGCATGAAAACGTGCCTGCAGAGCTGGAGTGTCAAGCAGATGAAGCTTGTGTGAGATGACAAAGCAGAAGGCACTTTTAACAGCTGAACCATCTCCTCAGTCCCAGATTCCAAAACCATTTTATTTCTACCTATTCCCGATTTTATGATAACGAAGTTCTACTGCATAAAGTAATACACAATTAGTAATTTATTCTGTGTTATGCTAGATGTCAAGAATCAGATGAACTAAGAAAATCTCTAAATCATTAACACAAAGCACAATACAAAAAAGTTTACATCCTTTGCTCAATGACCATTATTTTAAGAATGCATCATCTGTTGTAACCTAGATGTTTTAATGCTTATGCTGCCCACTAAACAATAAAGATTTGCTTGCTATATAGAAAACAAGACTAAGGAATAACTTCATTTTCACCTCTGGCTAACACACCTCAACCTAAAAACTATTCAGATTAAACATCCTGACTTACCCAGCAAGCGCAAAAATAGTTATTTCTACTGAAAATACTCTGCATTATCACTGCACAGAATAAAACTCTCAGACATTTGTTCTTCATGACTCCGGATTTTATTTATTAACTGTAAGTTTGAACAGTTCTATATATATTTTTTTTTTTTTGGTTTTTTCGAGACAGGGTTTCTCTGTGGCTTTGGAGCCTCTCCTGGAACTAGCTCTTGTAGACCAGGCTGGTCTCGAACTCACAGAGATCCGCCTGCCTCTGCCTCCCGAGTGCTGGGACAGTTCTATATTTATAAAGTTTTTCTTTTCCCAAAGACAGTATTATTGGAGAATATAATAAATCTGCGTACCAGGCTGGCCTTGAATTCAGAGACCCTCCTGTCTCTGCCTCCTGAGTGCTAGGATTAAAGGTGTGTATCACTAACCCTGGCTAATTTTCTTTACCCATATTTCAAAGCAGGCCCAAACAGGTAAGCTTTTGGTCCAAGTATTTACAAGGACAGCTATGTTGGACAGTATGCTGGCTTCTGTGCTCTATGTTTTAAAGTTCACCTGTCATCCAAACTTCCCAAGAGAGAGATTAAAATGTGTTTTGTTTTACCTTGCTCTAAGAAGACTTTTAGCTTTGTCGTCCCAGTGCTCTGAAACTGTAAGCAGTTCTTGCAGGTGGGCCATAGCTTTCTCCACTGCTGCATATGGAGCCAGCCCCACCCCTAAGTCTATGAGTCGTCTCATATCATCCAAAGAAAGGGAACTGGAGTCTAGGCAAGCCTGTTGCACCTCTTCTAGCCAACGGGCCTGTTCTAAGCGAATACGAATCTCAGCGAGTTGTGGAAGTTCAACATCGAATTCAAAGCTGACATCCAGTAAGTCCTGTAGCTCAGCAGCACTAGGCATTTCCTCAGACAGTAGTTTCTGACTATGTTGTTGGAAATCTTCTACCCGATTCAAGAGATCCTAAAAGCAAGCAAGTAAGCAAGCAAAGCCAAATAGTTAGTACAAGGCATCCCATCAAAATCAGACCTCAGTACTTTTTTCAAACTTCAAACCTGAAGTTCACAACCAGTGAAAGCCACACTATGTCAGTAATAATTTGAGTGAATGAGGCAACACACATGTCAGTCAGTCTTGGCAATAATCCTGTTTCAGGGCTCTCTTGGAACTGGGGTAGAGGCATGTGCAGGATGCCTAATTTGTTACATGGAGGCTAGAATCCAACCTCTGGTTCTCATAGTTGTACAGCAAGAGCTCAAAACCACTGAACCATCATCTCTTAGCTCCCTTGGACTTATTATGGAGCCCAGACTGGCTTTTTGCTGATGGCAGTTCTCCTGCCTCAGGATCTAAGTGCTGGGATTAGAAGTGTGGGTTATCATTCTATATGCAAATTAAACAACGAAGAAGGCAACTTAATAATGCCAATAGAGTATACACAATATGGTGTTTACCCCCAAATCCTCACACACATCTTTACAACGTTACCTTTAGCAATGGTGTTTGACTAAGGACACAGGGAAGAGCATACAACTGAGTCACAAATTGTCGGAGTTCATTCACTGTCAACTGATTCTGAGACTTTCCTCCACCAGATCGGTACCTGTAAGACAAGACAAGGGCCCGAGGAAGCTATGAGAACACATATGTTCATTACTCATAGGTCCCAATAGCACAGAATCTAGGATGGAATGGAAAAATTGTAATAGGTTTCTAGGTTCAGATGCCATAGATTAACATCTCAAATAATCAAAAGTATATACCTTGTCTGTCTTTTGCCATTAAGCAGCTGCTGGGCAACAGAGGCACACTTTTCTGCATCCTGCGTGACTAAGCGCAGGTGACGCAGAAGATCGTTGTCTGGGAACTTCTTCATTTCTGATTCTTCAATTAAAGCTTTGAAGTTGACCAGACCTAAAATAAAGAACACGTCATCTTTCTTTGATCATCAGGTTTATAATTAACTACAAAACAGAGTGGAGAAGGCCCATCCATAAACGTAACATTATAATTATATTTTAGACAACATTTATCTCATGAGGCAAACTGCTTTGTCCACTCTTCATTTAAAATCTGTGCCAAGGTCAGGTGATGTGCCACATGCCTTTAATCCCAGCACCTGGAAGAGGCAGTCAGATTTCCTTGAGTTCGAGGACAGCCTGGTCTACAGAGTGAGTTCCAGGACAGCTAGAATTGTTAGATAAACCGTGTCTCAAAAAGTCAAAAACCTCTGCCAAAGATCTGGAACCCTGTTCAGGCAGAGCTACGGATGAATTAGGCTCTTTTCAGTCATCTGTTTTGTCGATAACTGAAAGCTGGAACAACAAAATCCAAGTCCGCTTTGCTGGTAAAAATCACAATTAAATAAAAGCATGACATACTTTTCTTCTTATTGATCTTTGCTTCCAAAGCTTCATTCACATTTAAGGACCATTCATTGTAAGACTCTGCTCGAAGCTTCAATGCATTCATCATGGGATAGAGGTCATCCAGAGTGTATCTATACCTGGACACAGAGCACAAACAGCTTTGACACAGGTGACTGTGGAGAAAGGTGTTTTATCCTCAACATTCAAAGACCTAAATTAGAGATGCCATTGAGTAAAAACTAGGCGCAGGCTGGGAAGATGGCTCAATGGATAAAGCACTTTCCATGAAAGCAATACCCATGTCTGCCTGGGGCCACCATGTTTCCTGCCATGAGGATAATGGACTAAAGAGTTGCCATGGCCTTGGTCACTTCACAGACTAAGGTACCATGTAAAAGCAGTGTTGATACAGTTACATGATACAGATACAGACAGGAGACTCTCTGGAAGCGAATGGGTCAACCAGATTGGCGTATAGCCAAGAACCGGGAAAACTTAAACAAGGTGGAAGACCAAAGACAACACCTAAAGATGTTCTCTGACTCCGCAAGCACACATGAATGTGATCTCTCTCTCTCTCTCTCTCACACATGAACCAATATATACATATGCACATGTATACACAAAGAGAGAAATAAACGATTCCATGCTTTCCCAAAGGAAAAAAACAAAAACCAAAACTTATCCTTACTACTTACCGCAGGTTATACTTATAAGGGGGGCAGGAACACAATTGTTTCACATGATGTAAGCAAACAAGCAGGCCAGGTTTACAAGAGCAGGAGATGGCAGACATGAAGCATGTTGTCTTGCATTGTAAACACTGACGCTCATCATCTGGCAACAGTTCAAAATCCATTCTTTCTGAGTCAATTACTCCCTAAAATTAAATCTATATTAGAAGCTTTGAAAGAATAATACAATCTAAAAGACCAAAACAAGCATGAACAGAATTTTTTAAAGCCTTAGTAAAATCCATAAGCATGATTTAAAACTAAATGGATTACAAAATAACAATAGCCTAGCATCCACTTGTCCAGCGGGAATCCCTCCTTGGGTAAGGTAAGGCCCCATGTCTAACCATTTTGATCTAAGCATAAACAAAAGCAATGCTGAATTAATACTGTTGAGGTTAGCAGCCTATCTTACTCCAAACTTACTTTACTGAAGTTTGAACACAGAGAAGAGCAAAAGAAAGACATAGAGCCGGGCGGTGGTGGCGCACGCCTTTAATTCCAGCACTCGGGAGGCGGAGGCAGGCGGATCTCTGTGAGTTCGAGGCCAGCCTGGTCTACAAGAGCTAGTTCCAGGACAGGAACCAAAAGCTATGGAGAAACCCTGTCTCGAAAAATCAAAAAAAAAAAAAAAAAAAAAAAAAGACATAGGCTTTCTATCACAGAAAATATAAAAAGCAGCTGGTGATGGCAATGCAACTCACAGAGCACTTGCCTACAGTGCACAAAGCCCTGGATTTGATCCCTAGCATCTTCCTCAACAGAGAAGCTGGAGAGATGACACACATGGCTCCTGCAGAGGACAGAGTTCCTGGCTCACAAGGCCTGCAGCTCTGGCTCTGCAGGAGGTCTGATGCCCTCTTCTGACCCCACCACACACTTTAAAACTAAAAAAAAGGTTTAAGAAAAACTAATACAACAAACCAAGATGGCTGTAGTAGGAATAGACAGAAAGCTACTTGAACATACCATTTAGTAAGTTAGAAAATGTGTAATTCAGGAGATAAAGTCCCATTGAGAAAACATTTTAAAGTCACAAAGAAAACATTTCAACTATAGTGCATCCCATCTGACCTCTAGAAGGCCCTTTTCCCAGTTTTATCTCCATTTTTTTGTTTGTTTGTGTTTAGTAACTCAGTAAGTCCAATTAAGTGTTGCCCATAGGTACATGAGTGTGGGGTCATCCACAGGAGACTTGACAACCTCCCACAGGTACATTGCCTAAAATCACTCTCCCTCCCCAAGTAGCTAATCAACAGTTAAATCAGCTCTTTAGCTTCAGGTGGTTCCTATTCCACATCAGGCTGGAATTTGGGTTTTAGCCAGTTCTTCTGCAGGTAATCACTAGCTACCATTACTGATGTAGACCTCGGTAATCCACTAGGCACTGCTTTCTCCAACTATAAATTATCAGGGGACATAATGGGCTCCCAATAGAAAACATTTCAGTATTCTAACCACGGTAGCATATAAAAGAAAATGATTGTGTATGTGGTTGATTCAAAAGAATCCATTTTTTAAAATCTATTAAATCAAAACTGTAACAGGAAAATGCAAATGAACAAAGAGGTAAGGATTGTAGCTCACTTGGTAGAGTGCTTGCCTTATATACTCCAAGCCCTGGGGTTAATTTCAGCATTGAATAAAACTGAGTATGGTACCATATTCCTATAACTCCAATACTGGGGAAGTAGAATCAGGATAATCAGAAAGAAGTTCAAAGTCATTCTTGACTACATAGAGAGTTAGCCAGACTGGGCTCTATGTGACCTTATCTTGGAAGACTCACACCAGTTGTTACTTTTTTCAAAGGTTTTAGAAAATTAGAGGGCTAGAAAGACAGCTCAATGTTAACTGTACAAACATTAAAAAGGGTCCAAGTACCCATGTTACTGAGCTTAGAACCGCCTGTAACTTCAGTTCCACGCTATTGGACACCTGTTCTAACCTGTGTGGGTACTGACCTCACATGCACAAAACTCCACACACACATATGTTGGTAAGTAAAAATAAAATTTAAATCATAAAAGAAAATTACAGTAGTAAAGACCATTTAGTATTAGCAATAGGTTAGATTAGTAGGTTTAAAACCAAGGTACCAAGGCAATTCAACAGAGAAAATAAAAATTAAGACACTGTGAAGAGACAACTGGACATCCATATGCAAAAATAAACAAAAACCCAAAACACTTTAGACCTGTATTTTATAAAAACAAAAATTAAATAAAATGGTCCAGCGGCCATGAAAATTTAAAAGTATGAGATTCTAGAGAAAATCCTTGTGACTTTTGCTTTGAATTATACAAAATATCTTAAGGACACATACTAAAATACAATAAAAAAAGAAGCAAGCCGGGCGGTGGTGGCGCACGTCTTTAATCCCAGCACTCGGGAGACAGAGGCAGGCAGATCTCTGGGAGTTCGAGGCCAGCCTGGTCTACAGAGCTAGTTCCGGGACAGGCACCAAAGCTACAGAGAAACCCTGTCTCGAAAAACCAAAAAAAAAAAAAAAAAAAGAAGAGGCAAGCGTGTAATCTAGCACTTGAAAAGTGGAAGCAGGAAGATCAAGACCCACATACCATCCCGGGATGCAGGAGACACGAGTATAGCAAAGAAAGGGAGCGATAAACAGAGAGAGACAGACACAAACACAGACAGGCAAGGGAGAAATGCTATTGTAATAAGTTTATAATTAAATCAGAATTTGAAGGTACTTTACACAAATGATGATACAAGGGATAAAATAAGCACATGATCAAACAGCCAATACAAATTAAAGCAAAATATTACTACATGTCAATTAGAAAGGCAAGGAAAAGCTTCTTAAAACCATAGTAAAGTACAAGAATTTTAGTAAGTCAGAGACATGGAACTGGATTTCCAAAAACCTTACCAATTTACGCACAGTTTCCCTTAAAGCTTTTTCATCCTCAATCATAATAGCCATGTCTTTCTGAACAGTTGATGCGACTACAACATCCAGTACATCAGCTTTGGAAGCCATTTTGCATATCATCTCATCATGGGAAAAGACACAATAACGGTGTAGCAAGCGGTAATGCTCCACGCACTGGCGGCCCAATGGTAGCTGTGTCACAAGCAGAGGAAATTGGACATAGTCACCTTTTTAATTTCCAAAAACTTTTGACTTACTATATATTACCAAATAATGCAATCTAGGTAAAACATCTACGCCTTATTAATCCTAACCAGACTCAGATTCCCAAAACCCCATTATTTTTGTGCTCTAAAAATATGGCACATTGGGTAACTAAGTTGAAAACTGGTTAAGAAATAAAAAATGACAATGAGTTAATGTGAGTAATGTGGAGTCTAATGGGAAATATTTGTACATATCCTAAAACAACTGTGCTGAACTCCTAGGCTTCCTTTACTTCAGTGGACAATTAATACTCAAAAATTGTATGGGGGGGAGGCTGCAGAGATGGCTCAGTGGTCAAGAGCATTGCCTGCTCTTCCAAAGGACCTGAGTTCAATTCCTGGCAACCACATGGTGGCTCACAACCATCTGTAATGAGGTCTGGTGCCCTCTTCTGGCCCGCAGGCATACATGCAGACAGAATATTGTATGCATAATAAATAATTTTAAAATAATTTTTTTTATTTTTTTATTTTTTTTTTTTTGGTTTTTCGAGACAGGGTTTCTCTGTGGCTTTGGAGCCTGTCCTGGAACTAGCTCTGTAGACCAGGCTGGCCTTGAACTCCCAGAGATCTGCCTGCCTCTGCCTCCCGAGTGCTGGGATTAAAGGCGTGCACCACCATCGCCCGGCAATAAATAATTTTTTAAAAAACCCTTTATGGTGGAAAATAAGAACTAATGCTATTTTTCAAGAAGCATTAGATGGCAGCACATGCCTAAATTCCAGCTCTTATAGGCTAGAAGCGGGAAGATCTGCAATTCTAGGCCATCCTCAACTATCCATGAGATTTTTAAGAGACCTTGTCTCAAAACAGAAAGCTACAAGTCTCTAAATTTTATCACACATCTTGTTACATAAAATTTCAACTCTGCAATGAACTGAAATAAACATGTCACTGAACTTTTGGATTGTGGATAATTAGGCCAATTCTACTAAAATTTGTTACTAGTCTGTAATCTCTAACAAACTTCAGCCTTGTTAAATTGTTAGACTGTTCTTCAGAAAGAGTCTTGCTACAAGTTAAAAAGTTCCCTAGAACCTGAGGTAGGAGAATGGTTTGTAACAAAGAGCTCAGGGTTAGGCTTGGTAACACAGGAAAACAAAACAAAACCATTGCTCTATCCACAAAAAGTTGATTTAAAACTTGTACAATTTAAAAAAAGTTCAGTTCCTAGCAACCATGTCAAGACTAGTTACAACCGTCTGTAAACATAATGCCTTCTCTGGCCTCTACTGGTCCAAGTACATGCCTGTGCATGTGTAGGTGCAGAGAAACAAACACATACACACTTTAAAAAACAGAGAAAGGGGTTTTGCTACAAAAGAAATGTAATGTCAGCTAAAATAAGCAATGTGAAACATGTCTGAATGCCATACAAGGTGTTACAAAATACCTTATCTCATTGTAGACTGGAAAAAAACTTGCATAGTAGTCAGATGAGCAGCAAGTATACACGACAATTTTCAAAACATTATATGCCATTTCCACAGGAAAACTGTAGATTTGAGAAAGCTCAAATTTGTAATACATACCCAATCAACAGTGCAGAAGTTAACAGCCTCGGCAAAATTAAAACCTTGGTTGAAACCACTGTGATAGGCTCTTGGAAATGTGATCACAAACTCCCCAGCACATTGATTTGTTCGATAAACCTACAGAGACAAGAGTGAAGAGACTTTAAGGTTTGACAGTAACATTCTCAAAGACAATTTAGACATGAACTATTATAGATGACTCACCAGAGAAACAAGACAGGACAAACTTACATTTGTACATATATACCTTCTATCAATTAAAACGGAGGAGAAAAGTTACTGTGGTACAATCACCTAACTTGTGCCACAAGCTAAAGAGTACACCACAATAACTGCACTAGGTAGTCTCAACAGAAGACAGGGCTCACCCCATCTAAGAGACAAGACCCTAAGGTTCAGCAAGAGTGAAGCCAGGACAAGCGGATGCTTGTGAACTGAGGTTAGTCTGGACCGCAGAGCAGGTTCCAGACCAGGAAGAATAACTAATCCATTTATTATCCTAGGCCCCGAATCCAATATTTTTTTATATTTATTTATTTATTTATTATGTATACAATATTCTGTGTGTATGCCTGCAGGCCAGAAGAGGGCACCAGACCCCATTACAGATGGTTGTGAGCCACCATGTGGTTGCTGGGAATTGAACTCAGGACCTTTGGAAGAGCAGGCAATGCTTCTAACCTCTGAGCCATCTCTCCAGCCCCCCTGAATCCAATATTTTATTCCAATTCTGACAAATGGGAAAAATCCAACAAGAAAAATACTAAAAATGAAGTCATGATGGGTGTTTCATACATTCAATCATTATTTTCTAAATTATAGTCCATGAACACATACTTAATGAGCCTCATATTAAAATCTTGAAATATCATGCCTGATGGTCCCTGAGGAACAACACCCAAATGCAGGCATACACATACACCCACAGATGTTTAACGGGAGGGAGGGTGATTAGCAGTAAAAAACAGCCAATTCTAGCTGAGAAGTGGTACCAGGACAGTGTGTACATCTAGTATCCCAAGACCCTAGGTTCAGTTCCCAGCACCACCATAAATATAATCCTACCAAGTATGACACTTTGATTAATCATTCAAAAATAAGATTATGAGATTAAATAAGATTCATTGTTCCCTCTTCTTTATGGAGTGCTGGGAATTAAATCCAGGACCTGAGCTTATTAGATAAGCATTCCACTGAAAAAAAATTTCAACCCAAATTATTCTTTTAGGTAGAAACAAGACAGCAAGAATTGGAAACTGGGTGGGATTCAGTTCCCAGCACCCATGTGACAGCTCACAACCACCTGTAAGTCGTGTTCCAGGGGATCTGATATCTCTTCTGATCTTCAGATTTCTCATGTGCATGGAGCACATAAAAACACTCATATAAACAAAACACATACAAACCAAATTTATCAATATTTTTAAAAAATTTTAAAACTGGAGTTTTGATCTAACTATAACAGAAGCTAACCATTTTCTTAATAAACTATTTTGTATTTGTAAGTAACTATTTCTTACAATAATTTATAGTACAGAAACCATTAGTGGTAGTGGCTATACAACCTAAAACTATGCTAAATTGTACACTGAAAAGTGCTGCGCTCATTTGCAAAGCAAGTCTGTTCAGTATCCACGTATTAACTACAACAATTAAGTTTATGTTTTCTTAGTACCTGGGCCATTGGATTAGTGCTATACAGCATTAAAAAAAGCACCTTCTATTATCAAGTTATATTATAAAAACACTAACTTTTTAAAAAGAAAAGAAAGAGAGTAATAGAGAGTGGGAAATACGCAGGAGGGTTAAATCAGAACATACAGGCACTTCATGAGTCATCAGAGTATTGGGGTTCATGATGGTCACCAGCTGGTGGAGGAGATCTGGCTGGGACACAAAGAGCTCTGGAGCTAGTTTCTTCATTACATTTTCTAGCTGCTCTGCAGCATATCCTGGAACTCCATACCAGGTTTTTGGCTCACCCCTAGAAATAGATTATAAAAGTCAATCGATTTGTAATATCAACACACACAAAGTTAAGCAATTCACATTTTTCTAATCTTGTTCTGTAAGAGTGAGCTACAAACGAATGTCCAAATCAAAGACATAACATTAGAAATGTAGTGGATCGTATGCAGTGCATTTTCCCTTCAAGTACATCATCCCAGATCCCACTTAACAAAATCTAGAGTTTCTAATATAAAGAATCACATTTGCTAGAAAATACATGGTTCCCACAACTTCCTTCATCAACTGAGAAAGGATGGCAGCCTTCCAGTTTCCTTTTCCCTTGCCCGTTCTGCTGGAAAAGGTTTAAATCAAATACAAATAAGGCAATTAGCATTTCTAAAGAGCTCTTATTCTTCAAAGCAATTTAAATTGTCAACCAATTAATCTGTGCCATCCCTGTGAGGTCTGATAAACATCATCTTCCTGTAACATCTGGAGCAATCCCGTAGGAAAGCAGAACCGTGTAGCATATTCGTATTCGTATGCCAGCGCTCGCGCCCGCGCTGTCTGTCTCTCTCTCTCTCTCTCTCTCTCTCTCTCTCTCTCTCTCTCTCTGTACATCCTCAAAGAGAGTGAGTGGGGCTATGGATTTTAAAATATTTTAGTACTTCGAAGTATAAGAAATAGGGTAGATGGAAACAGATGTAGAGAAAAATGGCTTTTAGGTGAAAAGTTTAAACAGTAAAGTTCAAAAGTCTACAGGGATTACAGAGGTCTAAGTATTGTATTTCAGACTTCAGCACAACAAAAGGAAACTGATAGTCCCAAAGGAATATATGGGTTACCATGACTACCAAGTGAGATTTCCTGTACCAATAAAAGCTACATGGTGCTTTAACTTGTTAGTGAACACTTTACTGAATTCAGATAAAAAACTATACTATTCCTAGAAACATCCTATACTTGATATAACTTGATAATAAACCTAATCTAATAGAAGCTAAATTAAAAAGAACCTATTACCTTCAGACACAGGTAACTCATACCAGAAAGAGGGAAATTTCCTATTCAGCTAACACACTGCTCATAAGTTCCATATAAAATTTCTCACCAGTGAAGGTAGTTGATTGAATAGCTCCAGTGGTCTTCAATGTGCCAACAGAAGGAAGAAAAGCACATGCCCACATACAACCAAGGGAGTTTCATGCCACATATATCTGCAGTAATATGAGCAAGGACAGACTGCTCCATCACTGGCATATTGTTCAAATTCCAGCCACTATCAAGATACTCCTAAAATGAGCCAGAAAAAAAAAGGTGATAAAGTTATATTTGTACCATGCTAACTCTTTAGAAATGTTTATTTTTTCCTTTCTTATTTTCTTATATTTATTATATTGGTATGGTACATATGTATGCAATGCCTAAAGGAGGTCAAAAAAGGACACCAAATACTCGAGTAGAGACGAACATAGGCAATTGTGAGCAACTTGACCTGGGTGCAGGAAACAGCCCAGGTCCTCTAGAAGGGAAGCAAGTGCTCTTAAAATTACTGAGTCACTTCTTCAGACCCTAGAATTCCATTGCTAAGGGTTGTCTAAAGAGCTCCTACAGCCCTGCCTTTAATCCCAGTACTCAGGACGCAGAGGCAGGTGGATCTCTATCAATTGAAAGTCAGCCTGATTTACAGAGTGAGTTCCAGAATAGCCATGTCTGTTTCACAGAGAAATGTTGTCTCAAAAAAAAAAAAAAAAAACAAAACAAGCCAGACGATGGTGGTACAGGCCTTTAATCCCAGCACTCAGGAGGCAGAGGCAGGCGGATCTCTGTGAGTTTGAGACCACCATAGTCTACAGAGCTAGTTCCAGGACAGCTAGGGTTAGGGCTGTCACACAAAGAAACCAGTCTTAAAAAACAAACAAACAGCCGGGCGATGGTGGCGCACGCCTTTAATCCCAGCACTCGGGAGGCAGAGGCAGGTGGATCTCTGTGAGTTCGAGACCAGCCTGGTCTACAAGAGCTAGTTCCAGGACAGGCTCCAAAGCCACAGAGAAACCCTGTCTTGAAAAACCAAAAAAAAACAACAAACAAACAAACAAACACAAACAACCCCCTCCCAAAAATCCAGATCAAACCAAAAACAATGACAGAGCTCCTTTTAAATAAAAGGAAGGGCTTAAGGTCAAAGTAGGATGACCTCTAACTCTATGTGGTATCTGGTTAGGATCTTAAATAAGTGGACTTGAATTTTATAGACACACACACTGCCCTTGTTTTGTTTTAGGATATAGGAGAACTGAGCATGAAGTTTAAAACATGAAGGAAGACATTAGCTCAAAATCAGGCAAACTAATCTACCTCATTTGCGAGGAGTTGGAATAGTGTACTATTCCCGGGAAGAGGGAAGTGAGGTGAAAAGCAGGGAGGGAGCATCACACTAATACATCCTATTTTCCTATTCTAGGGCTGGTTACCCATGTGAAGACAAATCAAGCTGGACACACGATTAAATACTTCTCCATGTGTATGTAAAATATAAAATGAACACCACACATATGCATATACATTTAAAATCTGACTGCCCACAGAACAGATATAAAAATAGTTTGGGGGCTGGAGAGATGGCTCAGTGGTTAAGAGCATTGCCTACTCTTCCAAAGGTCCTGAGTTCAATTCCCAGCAACCACATGGTGGCTCACAACCATCTGTAATGAGGTCTGGTGTAGACATACAGACAGAATATTGTATACATAATAAATAAATATTTAAAAAAAAAAAAAATAAAAAAAAAATAAAATAAAAATAGTTTGGCCATAGGAGTCCACTACAATGGAAACTTATAAACATTAAAGTTAAATAAGAACTCAATTCCTCAGGTTGTTTTTTTTTTTTAAAGAACTCAGGGTTAGACCCTGAAGGAAAGATGGTAATAATGTTCCGTCATCACCATTCTGTAGCACATAATCAGGACTAGGATTTTGAGGACTTAATTTTTCTTGAATTACTTAAAAATCCAGTAATTAACACTGTGCTGAGAGTAATTATAAATACTTAAGCTGACAAAACAGAATTTCAACATACACTTCCCAAGGCACTTGCAGAGACTTTCAATTGTTACACTGAAGATGTCGCCACTCCAGTATTCTGCCCTTTAGATGTAGAGCTACACCTCAAACTTCAAGTTCCTACAGTCAGAGCCTACCTCTTCCTCAGGAGAAACCTTGATTTTCCCATCTCGTACAGGAAAGCCACTGCCAAACTCCTTTGAAGCAATATCAGCTCCATACTCCACAGTGACATCTTCTTCAATAGTGCTTACCAGTCGCCAAAACTCCTTCTCCACCAGCTCTGTAGGAACCATCTGGAAGCACGAGGAAATTCAAAGAATGGTTTTTCCGTTCACTGACAATGGCAAATTGTTAATGACTGGCTAAGAGATGGGAATCACAGGTTAACATACTAAGGAAAAAAAATCTGTCCATAATTTCCCACAGGTGACTCGAGAAATTCAGACAACAACTCTGTTTTCTAAAATAAATTTTATTAAGAACTGTTAAGTATTGATTAAGAATCCATGTTACCAACTAATTTGGGCTCATATGGACTCAGAAACTGAACGAAATACCAGGGAGCCTGCATGGAAACAACTTAGGCCTTCTTCATATGTTAGAGTTGTGTAACAGGGTCTTATTGTTAAGACCACTAACACTAAAAGCGGGGGCTGTCTCTGACTCTGTTGCCTGCTCTTGGGAGCTATTTCTCCTACCAGATTGCCTTATCCAGCCCTAATACAAGTACCTAGTCTCACTGCAACTAGGCTAGATGATATCCATGGAAGACTCGCCCATATCTAAAGAGAAACAGGAGGAATGGGGGTAGATAGATGGGAGGGGAGGCGGGAGAAGAAACTTTGGTTGTGATGTAAAAACAAGTAAATATGGGGTTGGAGAATGGCTCAGCAGTTAAGAGCACTGACTTTTCTTCCAGAAGACCCGGGGTTCAGTTCCCAGCACCCACATAGCAGCTGACAACTGTCTGTAACTACAAGATCAGACAAACATGAAGGCAAAACACCAACACATATAAAATAAAAATTAAATTATTTTTTAAAAAAACAAACCAACAAAAACCATGAAATTTAAAAAAAAAATGTTACTTGATCACGAACCCAACCACAACTACAAAGAGAGGCCTTCAAGGAAAGGAAAAGGACCTATTTTGGTTTTTTGTTCTTCTTTTTTAATAATCTGAAATAAACTTGTTTTGAGAAATTTAACACCCAACTTTTTTTATTTTTTTTATTTTTCGAGAGAGTTTCTCCGTAGCTTTTTGGTTCCTGTCCTGGAACTAGCTCTTGTAGACCAGGCTGGCCTCGAACTCAGAGATCCACCTGCCTCTGCCTCCCGAGTGCTGGGATAAAAGGCCTGCGCCACCACTGCCGGGCAACACCCAACTTTTTTTAAGCACATTATTTGACTCAACCTAGCTGAAAATAATACAGACAACAAACACGAATTAAAAAATAAGGGTGGAGAAAAATTTTGGTGATCAAGAGTACTTGTTGCTCTCGCAGATTCTGGTTTGATTCCCAGCACCCACGTGTACCATCTCTAACTCTAGATCCAGAGGATCCAATGCCCTCTTCTGACCTCCATAAGCACCAAGCATACAGATGTTGTACAAATTCATACATGCAAGCAAATTACTCCCATGTCAACAAATAAATAAATAACCTAAAAAGATTATAATAGAACAAGAAATTGCAGAATAGAAACAAAAAAATCATTGCCTCAGCACATCCAACAACACAATAAAGCTATCAGAGTGTCAAGGAACTATTCTTAGTAGAGGCAAAGAACTTATATGTCTGAACCTTAGTGTCTTCAAGCTTTTAGGTAAAATAAAATCCAATAACATAGTATAAGCCAGTCAACATGACTATTATGCAAATATATAGGAAAATATTAAATGTATAAGGAGTCAAAATAAAACTTCAACTTGGACAGTGGTGGTGCACACCTTTAATCTCAGTACTTGAAAGGCAGAGGCAGGCGAATCTCTGTGAATTCAACGCCAATCTGATTTACAAAGTGAGTTCCAAGGCAGCCAGAGCTACACTCAGAGGAAATCCTGACTCAAAAAGAAAAAGAAAAAGAAAAAAAAAGAAAGTTTCCTTCTGTACAATGGCTGCCAAAGTGCGATTTATTCATGTCCTTATGGCTTCAATGAATGGAGCTTTTCTTTCACCAGTAATAGAGTTGCAGAGAAGCTGTCTACAGTATCTCGATTAACTCTTTTTTCTTCATTATCTAACTCAGGTGTGGAAGTGCCCCGTTTAATCCAGCATTTGGGAGGCAGAGAGAGGCACAAGAATTCAAGAGTTCAAGGCTGGCTTGGTCCACACAGGGAATTCCAAGCTAGCTCAGGCTACATAATTGAGACTCAATCCCAGAAAAGTAAGATAAAATAAATTTTAAATCACAGTTTAGTTGGGCTGGAGAGATGGCTCAGCAGTTAAGAAAACTGGCTGTTCTAGAGGATCCAAGTTCAATTCCCAACACCCACATGGCAGCTTACATTTGTCTGTAAAACTTCAAGATCTGACACCCTCACAGAGATACATGTACACCAACGCACACAAAATCAAAACAAATACATTTTTAAAAAATCACAACTTAGTAGTAACATGTCTTGACACATGGTGCCAAACCTAGTGACTTGTGTTCAATCCCTAGAACACAAATAGGAGAAAACAACTTCCACAAGTCGTCTTTGATTTCCATGTGCACATTGTTGCCTAAGTACCCCCAAAAACACACAAAAGTAAACCAACTAATAACAAAATTTTTAAAATTCTAAACCAAATTAGTATAAGTCTACATACGTGGACTGGCATGTTGAAGTAATCAGATTTAAATGAATCTGCCATTTCCCCAAATGTACGGAGAGTATAATCCCTTGCTGCTTGTTCAAAGCCAAATGCTTCTTGTGGCTTGCTACATTCCTGCATAGGAAAAAGAAAATTAGTGTTCTAGGTGGCATTTGAAAACACCAAGTGTATCTAGCCAATAGTCATAAGGATAATTTTTTTTAAGATTTAAGATTTTTTTCATTCTATTAGGTCTTCATTAGAAAAATTAATATGTTTAAAGAATAAGATTGTTCCAGTTAGTAAACAACTTTTATTTGGTACTGAGAAATTAAGGTATGTTTTAACAATCTTAATTTTTTTTTCCGCACTAGGTAACTTATTTATTGTATGTTTGCCATCTTAATTTTTTAACTTTGATTTGCTTTCAGGATCAAATGTCTTGTACTAAAAACGAGAGGAATAATATTCAAGAATTTAAAGTATAAAATCAACATAAAATATATCAAAATAGAAATAATCAGATGGAAACAAAATAAATTTCAGACCGGAACATTTAATGGTAACCAAATAATGCTATCAAAACCAAAAAAAAAAAAGCACTAAGTTAACAGAGGCAATATAAAACTGCCCTACATAATGCAGTCAATATTTGTATCATCTCTACCTTGATATTAAACATCTAAACATTTTAAATTTTAACACCATGGACCCTTTCCGCATTCCATAATAACCTGTCCTGTGGAGCCATCGCATGTGACACAATGGCTATACAGAAATCCTTTAGGACCTTTAAAGCTAAGCAGCATAATAAAAAACTTCTTAGTATTATATTTAATTCTAACACAAAACGTAACATTACAATGATTAAGTACTTCTTCCTAAGGATAAAAAAGAATTCTGTTACATTTTGTTAAAATATCAGCACTATATACATACTACATCAAAAATATTTAAGATAAAAAGCAAATTACTAAAATTAGTTGCTTAATATATTTCCATTTGTTTAAAACAGTAATGTCTGGGACTAAGGAGATGACCCTGTCAATGAAGTACCTGCCACACATACATAAGGACCTGAATCTATATCTTGAGAACCCAAAATCCTTGTCCCAGTGCTTGGTGGGAAGGGTAATGAAGAAAGGCAGATCCTTAAAGCTCCTGTCTAGTCACTCTTAAGCTTCAGGCTCAGCAGAGACCCTGTCACTGGTGAACTTGTGTACACATGCATACTAACAAATAAAAGTATCCCTCACCAACATAGACTTATACACGCAAAGTAAGAGAAGAAAAACTCTGGATGAATATATACACTAAGACATTAATAAAATGGTTACCCATGCCCTGTGAAATCATCCAAGTTGTTAAGAATATATTGTTTTACAATGAATTTGTTGGTGAATAAATGAATAAAATGTAATTGTCTAAAAAGAATTTTCTGCCTCTGAACATACATATTATATATAGATACACACACACATACTGTGGAACTTTGTAAGACCTCTTTCCTAGTCACTTCTGCTTTGTTTTGTTTTGTTTTGTTTATTGCTTTTTTTGAGACAGGGTTTCTCTGTGTAACAAGCACTGGCTGTCTGGAATTCACGCTGTAGAGCAGGCCGGCCTTGAACTCACAGAGATCCACCTACCTCTGCTTCCTAAGTGCTGGGATTAAAGGTGTACTCCACTACCACCGACTCCTGTTCACTTCTAAGCCTAGTTTTGTTCATGGACTTTATTATTGTTAAAATTAAAACCCACAGGCAAAGAAAAATGTTCCAAAAACAATTTTATTTCTCAGTCATTAATTCTTACCTGAGCCAAACACTTAGGACACCTCCAGTCTCCCTTAGGAACATCATGGAGAGGGGGAATCAAGCAGAAGGTATGATAACTGTCATCACAGCCGTCACACAGGAGGAGCCGGTCCTCATCATTGCCGCTGCCACATAAGAGGCATACATACAGGTCCACCTACAGCAATGGAAATAAATATAAAACAAAGGAGTGTGATTTTGTGATATGGGATTTCCCTCTGTGTGCTGTGATTACCATTAATGAATAAAGAAATTGCTTTGGACCTATTAACAGGGCATAACTTAGCTAGGAGGGGAAAACTAAACTGAATGCTAGGAGGAAGAGGGTGGAGTCAGAGAGAAGCGATGGAGCACTGGGATCTTTAGCCGGTAAGTCACTGTCACATGGCGATACACAGATTCATAGAAATGGGTTAAATTAATATGTAAGAGTTAGCCAATAAGCAGCTAGAGCTAATGGGCCAAGCAGTGTTTTAATTAAAACAGTTTCTGTGCAGTTATTTTGGGTCTAAGCTAGCTGGGCGGCCAGGAACCAACAAGCAGCTCTCCTTACAATAATTTTGTGGATTCTTTTTTCCATTTTATGTTATGTTATTCTGAGGGTCTCCAAGTAACAAGTGGCCTCTTAGTTGCTAAATTGAGGATAACCTTGAATTTACGTTTCTGACTCCACCTTAAGTATTGGGATTACAGGTGTGCATCACCACACCTTGTTTTCATGCTGTTGAGGAATTAAGTTTAGATTCACAAGCATGCTACTACTAGGCAAGTATTCTACCAAATAGTCATGTGCCAACCCACATAGGGTTGTATATTCACACACACACACACACACACAATCTTAACACATTCTTGGGAATATGTGTATCTGTGTATGCATACCACAGTCCACATGTAAAATTCAGAAGTCTCTTCTACCAAGTGAGTTCCAAATATTAAAGTCTGATCAAGTTTGTTGTACGTGTCTTTAACCTAATGAGCCTCCTCTGCAACCCATATACAGTTTAAATAAAAATGCTATACCTTCTGTAAGAAGTATATCATAATTACTGTGATCTTCAAGTTCTCTCTCCAAAATATTTTTTGGTATAAACAGTCAATATTTGGTTAAGTTTAAGATAATCTCCATAGGTAATAAATTTTTAGTCAAACAATTAATGATATTAAACAAATATTCTGGAAGTATAGTAGAAGATGCCTGTAATCACGGCACAAAGAAGCTATGATATGAGATCTAGGATTTCAATGATAGCCTGGGCATCCGAAAGACCTCAGCACAAAAGAGTAAAAACAAAGCAGAGGCAGGTATATCTCTGGGTCTGGGGACAGCCTGGTCTAAGGAGAGAGCTCCACCACAGCCAGGGTTACACAAACAAACCCTGACTCAAAAAAATAACAAACAAAAACCACTCCTACCACTTGAATTCAATTCGAGTTAAGATTAGTGCCCCCTGCTGGTGATGCAAACTGTGATCCCAGTACTTCAAGGTAGACAGAACTTAAACACAAGCTCAAGATAATGAACCTCCCCACACCCCCTAGAAGAGACCAGAAAATAATTTAATTTCCCAAATACCCAAGGTAAAGCACTAGTTACATACTAGTTACATAACAGCTGAACTCTTTCTCGCACTCACCCACCCCATGGCCCCTCTGTCTGTCTGTCTGTCTCTGTCTCTCTCTCTCTCTCTCTCTCTCTCTCTCTCTCTCTGTCTCTCTCTCTCTCTCTCTCACACACACACACACACACACACACACACACACACACATTAAATCAGTAGAAGATGTATTGGCCAATGCCTTGAGTTTATATCCTGCAGAACTGCAAAAATTGTTAAAATATGGAATCTATGATATTTTATTATGGTAGCCATTTCCCCAAATATAACATTAATAACATACTAACAGAAAGCTGACATGATGTCTAACTTGTTAAATCTGTTTATAATCACAGGGAAAAAATCTGAACTCCACACATTTTCTTACTGTATTTCTTGTGGTATGGTGGGAAAGGAACAGTGAGATCATTTCCAATTTAAAAACACTACTGTCAGGATCTTTCAAGGAAGGTCAATTTTTTTTTTTTTTTTTAAACACAGGTGAAATTCTGTTTGTCTTTTGGCTTTCGGAGACAAATTCAACTATGTAACCCATGTTAGAGTCTGAACCCTTAGCAATCCTTCTGCCTCACCCTCCAGTACCAGGATTGTAGGAGTGAGCCACCACTTCTAGTATAAGCATGACTTTCTTTTTTTTTTTCTTTTTCTTTTTCGAGACAGGGTTTCTCTGTGGTTTTGGAGCCTGTCCTGGAACTAGCTCTTGTAGACCAAGGCTGGTCTCGAACTCACAGAGATCCGCCTGCCTCTGCCTCCCGAGTGCTGGGATTAAAGGCGTGCGCCACCACCGCCCGGCCAAGCGTGACTTTCAACAAAAGTTCCACCTGAGATTTAAAGTCTCCAGCTCTCAATCTACCAAAGCCCTACCCCCAATGCCTCCTTTCCTTTGCTTCCTCACTTCTTGTTCCTTTTCACCCTTACTAGTAGTTAAGAGGTAGAAAACATAAATTTGACTAACTATTGATCTACCCTTCAGCTCAACAGCAGGTAGGCTAATGATTTGTGAACCATTAAATGCTCTTCGTTACTATCCAGTATGAGCTGAACAAATTCAAAAAAAATCGTAACTGCCAATGCTGACTAGAATCCGGTTACCTCCTTACTTATAAATTGATTAAACAGACATTAAAATATCTTTCCTTTGTTGATATTAAGTTAACCGATACTAAGTAATGTACATAAGTATATGCTTATAGATATAGGGATTATTCAAAGGGGGGCAGGGGAATACAGGCTAGGGATGAAGCTCAGTGGTTGAGTACTTGTGTAGTATATACAAGGTCTGAGTTACATATAAAATATGCTGTTCATTTCCCAGAGCTGGGTATGTAGCTCAGTGGCAGAGTGCTTGCCAAATGCAAGTCCCCGAGTGTGATCCCCACCAGAGTAAGAGGGAAGGAGGAAGAGATGGTGGACTTCTACAATCCCAGCTACTCAGAAGGCTGGGACAGAATTACAAATCCAAGGCCACCTTGAATATGAAGAGATCCTGTTTCAAAAGAAAAAAAAAAGCAAGTAATCAAAGGAGGAAAAGAAAATGGGGTAAAGGAGAAAGGTTAAGTGTCACTCACAGCATTGGTGGCTTTTTTAGATCGACTCTTGGGCTTTTCCTTCTCACTTTCTAACACGCAGTCTTTCTTCTCAGTGGGTTCTTGCTTGACATTACTTTTCATTTCTTTCTCTACAGGAGGCAACCCAAAATTAGTTCTTTCTGTATGTGCTATACTCATGTCTGCCCCCTAGCCCACCTCATCCTCTCACTCCTCTCCCAGCATGAACCATACAAACAAAATTCCATGTTAGTTTTCATTTTAATGATAGTTTTCATTTTAGTGACACCTAGGGTTACTACCTACAAGAGCGCAATACTGAGTAGGATAAAATACAAACTGACCTCGAATTCTAGTATGTAAGTTCTATCATGAATATGCTGTTTACATGTGTGTGTGCCTTCAAAATTGGAACTACAGTGTTCTTTGCTTATGAATAAGGCATGTGCAGGGCATGGAAGCACATACCTTTAATCCCAACACCCAGGAGGCAGAGAAAAAATGACCTCTATGAGTTCCAATCCAGTCAGAGCTATATAGTGAGACCGACCATGTCTCAAAGAAAAATTAACAAGAACAACAAGACATGCTTCTCCTGCTCGTGACAGGGATATCAAAAATTCACCACAGGTCTCTACCACATAATACACTGTCTCTTTATAACCTAAGATGATTTCCTGTTTCCAAAACCTGGTAATTTTGGTTAAACTGAGCAATCAAGTATTGAACCATCAAGTGATTCATTTACAACAAACCCAACTCAAAGAACTTAAGAATTATCTCTAAAAGCAAGAGAGATGGCTCAGCGATTAAGAGCACTGGCTGTTCTTCCAGAGAGGTCTCAGCAACTACATGGTGGCTCATAATCATCCACAATTAGATCTGGTGCCCTCTTCTGGCCTGTATACAGAACACTGTATAACAAATAAATAAATCTTTAAATTTAAAGAATTTTAAGTCTCTATACAACTAGTTATAGGTTGAGCCAGGACTCAGATTCACAGCTGTTTAGTTCCCACTATATTGTGTTGCTTTTTCGCTAACACATTAATGTCTATGAAGAACTCATTTTAGCACTGCATTTGCATATGCCCATGTGTACATGCAAAATAGAACTTATCCTATGTGAACTACAAATGTGCCTCTAGCCAGGTCTGGTGGCATATTCCCATAATGCCAGCACTTGGGAGACAGAAGCAGGGAGGGTCATGGCTGAAGAGTTTGAGGCCAGGCAAGAATACACAGAAGATCTTTAAAAAAAAAATAGAGAGAGGGCTGGAGAGACGGCACAGGGGTTAAGAGAATAGGCTGCTCTTCCAGAGGACCTGAGTTCAATTCCAAGCAACCACATGGTGGCTCACAACCATCTGTAATGATGCTCTCTTCTGGCCTGCAGGCATGTGTGCAGGCAGAACACTGTATACATAATAAATAAATTTAAAAAGAGAGAGAGAGAGAGAGAGAAAGGGGAAGTGCAAGAGAGAAAAAAAGAGGATGGGAAAAGAAAGCACGGAAAACAACACCTATCTCAAACCTCTCTCCAAGCCTCTATCAAGTGACAGCCATGTAAGCATTATCAGCTGAACTTCAAATTAGATAAAGTCTCTCCTTGGCTTGAAATAAAAAGGAACCTACACTTTTCAACTCGTCCTTTAAGTGATTTATTGGAACTACATTTCAAAGCAGCATCTATATTCCGAATACGCTTATTTTTCCATTTTCATCCTACTGGCTCGTTAATTGTGAGAATAAAGACAATATAGTAAGATTTTGTTTCTCAAAACCAGCAAGGTGACAAAAGAAATAATTGCCATCATCATTTTTACTTTTTCTTTCTTATTCATGGATAAACTTTCTTACCATTTTCACATTTGAGAGTTGGACAACCCATTCGGCGTCTCAGATTATGAGTCCTAGCTTCTGTTGCCTCTTCAGGTTCTATTTTAATATTCATAGCCTAAAAAAAATTGTCATATATTAACATTTTCTTCTATTTGTTACTAGTTAGTAATTCAGAAGACACCTTGTTCTCCTCTTAAAATATCCTATTTCTGAAATTACTTTTATACACAAACTAAAGAGTATTCTCCAATAATATGGGTTAATTGAAATCAAATTATTAGCTGTGTTACTATCCAAAATGAAAATAACATAACAAGACCTTATTTTCATCTAGAAGCTTTGCTTTAATTATTACCAAACCTGAAACAATTATAAAAACATCACAATTTCATCAACTTCTAAAATTTTGCCAACCTCTTCAAAGGTCTACCAATATTTGTAGAAATTTTGCTTCCACAATTGTCAATGACTTTTTTACTCTTCTTCTTTTTAAAGACAGGGATCACGGACTAGCCTGGGCCACATATTCTGCACAGTTGTTTGTTCAGTTCTGACTAACAACTAAGCAGCTTCCCAGGCAACACAGAATGAGTGCTTCCATTCTTTCCCCTTTGTAAACACACCATCCCCTCACTGGTGTAAAAACCAACAGTGTGAAGTATCCCTTTGACATTACCAAGGTTAAAAACTACAAAGCACTGACAGAAGAGAGAAAGTCAATGATAAATAGCTATCAACACTAAACTCAAGAAATGCTAATCAACCCCAGGAAGTACTGACCTCTGCTCTCATGCGCTTTGCTCGGCGGGCTGGAGGACAGGTTTCTGAGGGCTGTACAGACTGCCTCTGGGGAATGTCATGGGGTTTGTACTCCTTGTCCTTTGTATCTGACGTCAGGTTAGGCTTCTGAAGACACTACAAATAAAACAGTTGCACTAATGAATTTTCTTCTTCCCACCATAATGTGTGTGTGTGTGTGTGTGTATCTATCTCAAAAAAAAAAAAATTTTTGGTTTTACATGGTTTCTCTGTGTAACAGCCATGGATGTCCTGGAACTCACTTTGGTAGACCTGGCTGGCCTCAAACTCAAGAGATCTGCCTTCCTCTGCCTCCTGAGCGCTAGGATTAAAGGCACCACTACTACAGTACAGCTAAAACATCTAAAGAAATATGAAGTCAAATCTAAAATATCATACAGACATTTTAATGTTTAATTTTCTTTTTTTTTTTCTTACATCAACAGCATGACTTAGATTTATTCAAGTGCTTTATCTCCTCAGGTTTAAAAAGCCATGGCAGGCCAGGCATGGCAGCACACATCTGTAATCCCAGTACTCAAGAAAGTTGAAGCAGAAAGACTCTAGGCAATTAGTGAGAACCTGTCTCAAATATACAAAACAAAAAGAATTACCTCATGAATTTAATAACTTTTTCTCGATTTTTATGATCCTGCAGACTCTGACATGACCTGATATGACTAACAGCGCTATAATCAAAATTATCCTGAGTTGAGAAAATAGGTCCTCTCTGACTATAAAGTGGCTTTTCTAGGATTTTCATTTACCTCATTATATATTCATGACAAAGATTAATAGATAATTCACAGAAAACCATTTGATTTTTGCAGGGCCTCTTCAATCTCTGCAATCAGGAGTCAGAGGCAGGTTGATCTCTATAGGCCAACCAGGTTTACACAGTGAGTTCCAGGCCAGCCAAGGCATCATAGTGAGATTCTGTTTCAAAAAGAAAAATACCGAGCCGGGCGGTGGTGGCGCACGCCTTTAATCCCAGCACTCGGGAGGCAGAGGCAGGCGGATCTCTGTGAGTTCGAGGCCAGCCTGGTCTACAAGAGCTAGTTCCAGGACAGGAACCAAAAGCTACGGAGAAACCCTGTCTCGAAAAATCAAAAAAAAAAAAAAATACCGTTCTTATAACATCAGATGTAAAAATGTCCCCATGGGTTCCTATGTTTGTAATACTTGGCTCTCCCTGCCCCCCCCCCCCCCCCCCCGCCCATTAATAGCACTATTTTGGGAGGCTGTATGGCCTTTAGTAGTCGGTGTTTATCTGGAGAAAATGTTGATCAAAGGGTCAACTTACAGACCTGTTTAATTAGCATCTATGCCTGTTTCCTGGCCCAGCACGAGGAGTCCCAACCATACCATCTCAAGCATATTGGTCTTATAACTAACACACACTTTATGTCTTCTCAAGTAGGATCAGAGGTGGTTGATATCATTATACCATAATCACCTTATCCCACAGAGACAGCCACTCTCCTTTAGGGCTTTCAGAAAACATGGTGATGCAAGAGCAAGGTTGTGTTCCATTATGCCCATACACTTTTTTTTTTTTTTTGGCCTTTGAGACTCAGTCTCATGCAGCCCAAGTTGACTGTGAATTCACTGTGTAACCAACAACAATCTTGCCGGGCGGTGGTGGCGCACGCCTTTAATCCCAGCATTCGGGAGGCAGAGGCAGGCGGATCTCTGTGAGTTGGAGGCCAGCCTGGTCTACAAGAGCTAGTGCCAGGACAGGCTCCAAAGCTACAGAGAAACCCTGTCTCGAAATACAAAAAAAAAAAAAACAACAACAATAATCTTGAATTTCTGATTCTTCTGCCTGTGTCTGAGTGCATGTGCCACCATGACAGCAGACAACCATTCTCCCAACTGAGGTACAATCAATCCTCAGCCTTTTTTAGCAAACTTTCTACAAGGAATATGCATCAGCAATTAGAATATATTGGTATATAGTAGGTTAAAACAAACACTTGAGTTATATATACAATGTTTATGAAATCAATCTTGAAATCCCTATTCTTTGTTTACTTATCTTACTACACAAGCCTAGGCTTTTATAAAAAGGCAATATTCCCTTGCATTAACTTCTGGTGTGCTAGGGTTACAAACACAGCAGCTTTTAAGTGCTTTTTGTAAAGAAGCACTTACTTTGTAAACAAGGCAACTAACAAGTTTCTAAAATGCTGCAACTCATAATTCAGCTAAGATCTTCCTTCCCTTACTCATTGAACCTCCACACATAGGAGAATTCAAACAAAGAAAAGTTAATCATTATGCGGCAACTATTTATAAAATGTAACTATAAAAGAGAGGCTAATCTAGTACATGGCCCATGACTATAATCCCAGCACTTGGGAAGCTGAAGTAGGAGAAACACATGTCCAAGGACAGACCAGGATACATACTGTGATGGTTAATACAGCCAACTTGAGAGGATTTTAGCATCACCTGAGAGAGAAGCATCTGGGCATTGTGTAAAGGGTTTTCTAGATTTGGTTAATTAAGGTAGGAAGAAGCACACTAACTGTGGATAGCACCAACTCACGGGCAGGGGCTACTAGGAGGCATAAAGGGAAAAAGCAACATAAGCAAGAGCATTTTTTGTTTGTTTTATTGTTTTTTGAGACAGGGTTTCTCTGTAGCTTTGGAGATGTTCTTTAACTAGCTCTTGTACACCAGGCTGGCCTCAAACTCAGAGACCCCCTGCCTCTGCCTCCCAAGTACTGGGATTAAAGGCGTGTGCCACAACCACTCAGCTAACCAAGAGCATTTTTATCTGTTTCTTGACTGCAGATACAAAGTGAACAGATTATTTTATGCTTCTGAGACCATGCTTTCCTGACAAAATGGACCACAAACTCAAATTTGCCCCAGTTGCTTTGGTCGGGTATTTTGCTGAAGCAACAATAAACTCATACAGTAAGACATTGTCTCAAAATGAATGACATCATCAAAGGCTGACTAAACACTAACATACTTTTTGTTTTGTTTTTTCAAGAGAGAGTTTCTCTATAGCTTTGGAGCCTATACTGGAACTTGGTGTGTAGACCAGGCTGGCCTCAAACTCAGAGATACTCCTGCCTCTGCCACCCAAGTGCTGGAATTAAAAGTGTGCGCCACCACTGCCCAGCTAACATACATTTTTTGTTTTGTTTCGTTTTGTTTTGTTTGCTTTTCAAGACAGGGTTTCTCTGTTTAACAGTCCTAGTTGTCCTGTAACTAGCTCTTGTAGACCAGGCTGGCCTTGGACTCAGGATCCACCTACCTCTGCCTCCCGAGTATTGAAATTAAAGCCATATGCCACCACCTGGCTTTAACATACATTTTTAAATGGAGAGAGGGATTGGGGTGAAGCTCCATCAATAGAATGCTTGTCTCATATGCATAAAAGACCTGGGTTGAATCTCCAGCATGGTATGAACTGAGAATGGAGGTGCATGCTGTGATCCCATCACTTGGCAGGTGAAGGCAAGATGGTTAGAAATTCAAAGTCATCCTTAGCTATACAAGTTGAGGTCAGTCTGTGACACAGAAGACCTTGTCTCAAAATAAAAGCCAAGTGTGGCAGCACCTATAATCCCATCACTTAGGCAGAGACAAGCATTATCTCGGTGAGCTCAAGGCTTGCCTGGTTTAAATTAAAATTACAAAACAGCAAGGGCTACACACAAACAACATCCCAACTTGGGAGACTGGGCAGAGCTTGTTTGATCACCAGTATGCAAAAATTAAAAAAAAAACTGAGTATGAAGTTATCAGACAAGCCACTTTTAGTCTAAAAAGTTCAAAAAAAATAGAAAACAAAGATGCTATGAAAATATATAGGACTTAGCATTCTAGGTGTTACTGGTCTATAGGATTAAGATAGAATTTTTATTATTGTTCTGACCTGAGAACTATCAGTCTTTCCACTGCACAGAAATAGTTCCAGTTATAGGACTGCTCTAGTAACAGAATGTCAAACCATGCAAATGGACTGACACTCCTTTCTACCAGAGCCCTGAAATATGGGGTCGGTGTTACAGCATTTACCCGAAACTGCTGAGAAAATGAAGGCCTCCGGCATCAAGTCCTCTCTCCTTTATAAACCTGACACCCTCCCTGGAAATCCCAGTCAGCAACTGTTAGCCCACTTAAATCACAGGTCAAACTTTTTGTGACAACCAGGGATGCTTGAAATAGCATATGCCATTTTTAAAAAATACGTAATAATCAAGTCCTATACTAAAATACAGATTTTAGCTGTTTTTGACAGTAAAAAGGCATTTTCTTTATAATCTTATTTATTCTAATATAAACTTTTAAGTTGCTCCCCAAACCAAAGTACTGGAATTTTTCAATCAATCAATCAATCAATCAATCAATTAATCAATCAATCCAGTAATGTTTTCTGAACATGATTAAGATTGTCTCACTGCCAACAAAGAAAATGTACCAAACAAATAAGCAGTTAAATAAAACAGGCCAAAGCTGGCTCCAACACTCACCCTCAAACTGTCTCCAGACAGGAATAAGTTGTACGGATGGAGGATTCGCTCATAATGCCCCCTGATGTGTGAACCCACAGCTTTACCAGGAGCAAAACCCATCTTGGTGGCAATTTTGGTCCATTTTCTATCCTTGCAAACAACTGCAAACCCACCTTCTTCTGCGACTAACTATTAACAGCAAAAAATAAAAAAAGAATAAATAAATGTTAAGAGAAAATTACTTTTAATCCCCTACACCTAGGTATGACTCTAAGAACAAAATTCCCAGTTATAACTTTCGTTGTTGTTGATATGCTTTTTATTTGGATGTTTTTCACTTCCTAGATCAAAAGAAGAAAAGAAAAACTACCAGGCATTAATTTTCAACTACAATGTGAACAGCTCTTGACAGTGTGGTTCACAGACACTCTCAAACTACTTCTCACTTCCCCACAGAGGAATAAGGCCCCTGTCCCAGTACTTGATCCTTTCTTACCTTTAAAATCTGTATTTAAAGAAGAGACAGCAAGCATGCCATCATTCTGGTACAAAGAAGTGGGACCTAGAACCGAATTATGGCCTAGCTGTTTTAGCTGAAGTCTTCTCAAATCCCTTGAGTCTTAGGTTCCACTTATCTCAACAGAAATGGGAAGAACTCTTTGCAGCATTGAGGCGTTTCAAAAGAAATAAGGCTTATAGACTAGACAGATAGAGCTGTGATACTTAACGTAAAAAAAGAAAAAAAACAAAACTGCATAAGACAGTTGCCCCGCACTTGCCTTATTAAGCTGGAACAGGTCTAAGATCTTCCTCTCCACATGTGGAATCTTCAGAGTACTTCCCTGTAGTTCCCAATACTTTGCAATCTGGTCCAGGAAATTCAATTTTACACGTGTTTGGGCCTACATGTCCAAAAAAAAAGGCATTTTTAATCTCACCTATTTTTGTTTTCCCATGGCACAAGGTTGAGCTTAATCACAGGTATAAACAATCTTACCATTTTCGTCCCCCAAGTGGCTTACACTACTGGCATGTATATATTCTGATGTACTTGGTATCAATTTAAAGCTCCTGCCTATAACCTTATGCTCTTTTCACTCTTAAGACTATTTAAATACAAAACTAATATTTATTTATTATTAAATTATTAAGAACAAGAGTGTTTGCTTGTCTAAGTTGTATTTAAAAAATAGGTGAGGTGCTGTCTGTCTATGTCTAAGGAAAAATATCACTGTTACATACACTGCTTATGATTTCTATATTTAGATTCTCAGTCAATATACTTTCTGCATACAACAGGGAAATAGGCAAAGTATATAAAATATTGTTGCTCTGAATGATGTTTCAACTAAGAAAAACTACACAATTTAATGTTATTTGTAAAAAAAATCAGCAATGGTTTATTCTAATTTTATTGTTAGTCTGCTTTTCAGGGCAGGGTTTCTCTGTAAAGTCCTGGCTGCCCTGAAACTCGAGATCATCCTGTCTCTGCCTCTCAATGCTGACATTAAAGGTGTGTGTCACCATCCCCAACTACTCTGGCCTTTCCATATTTACCTTAATTAATCCTCCTATACACTGTGTAAATTAAGGGGAATTGGTTTAATAAAGAAGTTGACTGGCCCAAAGCTGGACTGGATAAGGTTAGGAGGACAAAACCAGGCTAAGGACTGGAAAGAGGGGTGGAGTCAGGAGTTGTTGCCCAGACATGAAGAAACAGGAGGTGCAGGATGATAGCAGGGCAACGCCACATGGCAGAATATAGATTAATATAAATGGGTTGGTTCATTTACATTGTAAGTGTTAGCTACAAAAAGGCTGAGCTCTTGGCTTTTTAATATAATTAATATTGAGTCTCTGTGTTGATTATTTGGGAACTGGCAGGCGAGAAAGAAAAGTCTGCCTGCAAGTCTTATTTGATAATTTAAAGATCACAGGAAAACGATAAACATTATTTATGAAATCATTTCTAATCAGTTTTTGTTAGCCTTAGTATAAAACACAAAGGGGACAGTTTGGGAGTTTTATCCGTGTTCAGGCAATTCCCAACGGTAATCCAAAGCTACAAGTTATTACATACCTACTACTCTTCTTTTTTCTTCGTTTCTCTTTTCTTTTCCAGGTTAGGGACTCACTATGTAGTCACGTTTAGCACTGAACTCACTATGTAGATCAGGCCCAACCTTGAACTAGTTATTTGCCTGCCTCCACCCCCTGAGCACTGGGATTAAAGGGAGGCACCACACCTGGCTCATACCTACCCACCTTTGTTCAACTACAAATTTTTGAAAATAGGCTAAAACGCTTCATGGACAGAAATGAAGCTCAATTGGAAAAGCACTTCTTAAGCATGCATGACGCCCTGATTTAATCTCTAGCATCACATAAAACCAGAGGGGAAGGAAGGCAGGAAGACAGCTTTATAATTCAGAAGCTGGACTAGGATACAAAGTAAATTTCTGGCCAGCGTGGGCTACATATCAAGACCCTTTTTCAAATTAAACAAACTTTTAAAGACTTGTAAAATACTAATATAATCAGATTTTGTTATCAAAACCTAGTATTTTCGACCTTGTACTATCTTTTTAATGTTTATGTGTATGAATGGAGTTTTTTGCATGTATGTAAATGTACAGAATGCATACCAAATAGCTGCAGACCAGAAGGAAGTATCAAAAAGTATCTAGTTCCTCTGGAACTAGAGTGATGATTGGTTGTGAATCACCACATGAGTGCTAGGTAGGAAATGAACCAGGGTTCACTACAAGAACAAGAAATGCTCTTAACTACTCAGCCATTTATTTAGCCCTTCTATCTTATATTTTAAAACTTTCTGTAGGGCTGGAGCGATGGCTCAGCAGTTAGTAAGAGCACTGGCTGCTCTTCCAGAGGACCTGGGTTCAATTCCCAGCACCTACATGGCAGCTCACAGCTGTCTGTAACTCCAGTTCCAGGAGATCTAACATCCTCACACACATATACATGCAGGCAAAACATCAATACACTTAAAAAAAAATCTGTAGTTCTGTAGTAAAGAAACAAACAAAAACAACTTCATCTGCTCTCTAAATAACTGACAATGCCACACTTTTCTTTGGGGAAAGTGTGTTACTAAATCTAAGTCTGGCTTAAGAATACTGACTGTTCACAATCATCAGTAACTTCAGTCCCAGGTTATCTGATATCCTCTTCTGATTGCCAAGAGCACCAGACATGCACATAATTCAGACATTCATGCAGGCAAAACAGCCATACACATGAAATAAAAATTTTGAAACTTTTATCTATTTAGCCGGTTGAAGTACATGCCTTTATCCCAGCACTCAAGAGGCAGAAGATGAGGGATCTCTTGAGTTTGAGGCCAGCCTGGTCTAAAGTGAATTTAGGACAGCAGGACTGTCACACACAGAAACCCTGTCTCAAAACAACAAAAATAAAATATAAATTAAATCTAGGGCTGGAGAGATGGCTCAACAGTTAAGAGCACTGGATACTCCTCCAGAAGACCCATGTTCAATTCCTAGCACACACAACTATCTGTTAACTCCAGTTCCAGAGTACTCAACATCCTCATGCAGACAGACATGCATGCAACACACCAATGCACATAAATAAAAAATTTTCAAATTAAAAAAAATGTAGGTTTCATACATAAAAGAAAATTAGGGATTAAAAAACCTTTCCTACTGCATTCTTCTCAAAGTAAATTATCACTGTTCTCAAAAGTAAATTATTTTCAAAATAAACTTTAAAATTCCAATGATCATTATCTAATAAAAATAACTCATATGTATTAATTAAATAGACAGAAAGAAAACTGACAAAAATTAGTATCTTTAATGAAATGTGGTTTGCTACAATGCCTAACTGAGTATCAATTACTGGCCATGCTTTCATTTCACCAAGACTGTAACACAGTGACAGACTGATCTTCAGAGAGTACTCCTCTGCAACACAGATAAACAGAACATTACCTCCAGTTCATTTAGCCTCTGGATACGTGGCGTAAAATGAAGTTTATCAACGTCACAAGCAAATGGTGGCTGCCAATCCTAGAAGAAAGCAAAAGCTAAATTAGATTTAAGTACACTTAAATTATTTTAAAATTAAAATCAAGGTTATATAAACTATCTCTTATCAGTTAAACAAAACATAACGGTGAGGTAGTTTTTCAACCTGTTTTCCAGCAGAAAATTCAGAGTATGTAATACACCCTCTTCCCCCAAATATTAGTACCTGGCAGACACCTCCCTCTATCCTGACCTAGCCCTGAGCCCACCTCTGTTAAAAAGTTGCTGATTTAGGCAAAAAAATATTTTGACTCTATAAAACAATATAATATCAGACTGGGTGGTGGTGGCGCACACCTTTAATCCCAGCACTCAGGAGCCAGGGACAGGCAGATCTTTGTGAGTTCGAAGCCAGCCTGATCTACAGAGCGAGTGCCAGGGCAGAATCCAAAGCTACAGAGAAACCCTGTCTCAAAAAACTAAAACACACACACACAAACACAACATAATATCAAATTATCTATAATTTTTACATATTTAATCTAATCTGTCTCTAGTAAGGAGGAAGAGAAGAAGGGAGAAGAGAGGGCTGAAGAGTTGCCTTAGTGGACATGAGGAGCTGCGTTGAGACCCTGAGAAAAAAAGACAGGCATGTACCTGTAAACCCACAGCTGGATAGCAAACAAAGGCAACTGGAGTTTAGTGGCCAACTAGTGCAACTGATGAGCTTCAGGGTCAGTAGGAAAACGTCTCAAAAATGATGGCAGAGGGACTGGTGAGATGCTCAGTGGTAAAATTGCTTAGTATCAAGTCTGAGAACCAAATCTTGTCTTTGTATATCGCGTGGTATAAGAGAACAGACTTCCACACACGCAACCACACCCGAATATACTAAATAGTTTTTTTTTTAAGTAAGTAATAAGCCAGGCAGTGGTGGCGCACGCCTTTAATCCCAGCACTCCTTTAATCCCAGGGAGGCAGAGGCAGGTGGATCTCTGTGAGTTCGAGACCAGCCTGGTCTACAGAGCTAGTTCCAGGACAGGCTCCAAAGCCACACAGAAACCCTGTCTCGAAAAACCAAAAAAAGGGGCTGGAGATATGGCTCAGTGGTTAAGAGCACTGACTGCTCTTCCAGAAAACCCGGGTTCAACTCCCAGCACCCACATGGCAGCTCACAACTGTCTGAAGATCCAGTTGCAGGGGATCTGACACCTGCACACTAATGCACATAAAATAAAGTTAAATAAGCCATAATTATATATATATATATATATATATATATATATATATATATATATCCCACCATTCTCCAGCTGGCACTATTTAAAAAACAAAACAAACAAACAAAAAAAGATATCTAGAGCTGACTTCTGGCCTCCATACCTGCCTTTCATGGGCATAAGGATGCACAAATATACCTGTGTACGTGCATGCACAGGCACACACGCGCACACACTTAAGGTAAGAATGTAGTTCATTTGATCGCATGCCTGAACCCCTGGGTTTGACCCCTAGTACCTTTGTAATCTTTGCATACAGAGGGATGCAAAGAGAATCAGAAGTTCAAGGTCACCCCCAGCCATATAGTAAATTCAAGCCCTAGGCTACAAGGATAGTCTTGTGTTTAAAAAAAAAGAGTTTGTGTGTCATTGTATGTAAAATGAATAAAAAATAAATACATACAAATAAAAATTATATATTATTTTATATCAAAAAAGAAAAAAGCCTCAATCCCCATCTAAACTACAGATATCCTGATTCTTGTTAAGTCCCTCCAAATGGAAAAAAAATACCAAATTATCTTATCACACTGTGATATTTATTTTTAAAATTGTAATATTTGTACTACTTGAAATTTTCTTTGATTGTTGGGTATGTGCTGTTTTATACATAATAAAATAAAGACATACAAAAAAAGAAAGAAATTATATCAGATCAGTTCTTCAGTAGAAAAAAAGAATAGATATTTAAACCAATTTTTAAAGATATTCTTAATGTCTACTCACATAGGTTATCTCTTCTTTAGAGGATTTTCCTACCACTGAGGAATTGCTATGATGAGGAAATAACAGGTAAGAAAATTGCTCAGTTCCTAACAGTGTAAAAATAAAAAGGAAGGAGAATGCGGCTCAGTGGCAGAATAAAGTTATGTTAATACCAGCACTTGGGAGGCAGAGGCAGGTGGATCTCTGTGAGTTCCAAGGACAGCCAGGACTACAGAGAAACTCTCTCAAAAAACAATCCAAATTATGAATAAATTGATACCTAAATATGGTAGAAACTGGAAAACAACTTAAATATATGCAATAAGGGTACAGCTGAGAAAAAAATGTTTTACTGACTTCAGTTTGGGATAATGAAAGCTCTAACGACATGGTGATTATGGATGCACAACACTGTGTTCAGCACTAAATTTATACTCAATACACTTGATGGTTATAATGACAAGTTTTCTATTACATATTTTAACATGGCAAACAAAGACAAATGTTAAGACATAGACTTTATTGACAAGAGAACCTTACCTGGTTTAAATATAAACCCAAATATTTTAAATAATATATTATTTCAGGGGGGCTGGAGAGATGGCTCAGCGGTTAAGAGCATTGCCTGCTCTTCCAAAGGTCCTGAGTTCAATTCCCAGCAACCACATGGTGGCTCACAACCATCTGTAATGAGGTCTGGTGCCCTGTTCTGGCCTGCAGGCATACACACAGACAGAATATTGTATACATAATAAATAAATAAATATTTTAAAAATATATATATTATTTCAGATTATGAAAATACTAATTCATAGCCTTTAATCCAATTTCATACTCAGAACTGTATTAAAGCTAGGGATGTGGCTCAGCTTGTAGCATGCTTGCTCCTGTCTAGTCTATCTGTTGGTGTGATAAAATCCTCTAACAAAAGCTAAAGAGATGACTCGGCAGTTAGGAACATGTGCAGCATAATTACACGGAGGAAAGTTTAGATCCTTCACCAACATAACAAACTGAGAATCCCTGCACATCCACAACTCCAAGTCAGAGAGGGAATGCCCTTTTCAGGTCTCCACATGCAGAGGGTTCATCCTGGCTCACAATTCAAGAGTCCAGTCCTTCACTGCAGGAGCTCAAAGCATCTGTCGAACCCCATCAATCAGCAAGCAGAGAGCAATGAATCAATCAATGCATGCGTTCTAGTACTCAGCTCACTTTCTTCATTTTTGAGAGTCCAAGATGCCCTTCAGGGAATGGTCCTGCCCACAGTTCATTAATCTAAGACGACCCCCCCCCCCGTGTCTAGAGCCACCCCATGCCTAGAGCCCTGTCTCAGATTATTTTAGATGTCATTAGGTTGACAAGACCAACCATCACAAGACCTACCATATATGTGATATCTGTATATATGTGTATATATATACACACATGGGTTTGATCCCCAGCATGACATAAAAACTGGGCTTGGGCTGTGGGAAGTAGTTCTGTGGATACAGTGCCCATTGTGCAAATGTGAGGACCCTCAGAATCCAGATAAAAGTTGGGCACAGTGACCCACACTTGTAATGCCAGTGATGAGAGGTGGGAACAAGCAAATCCTATAAGTCATCCCAATGTCAACTTGTCTGAGAAGCCCTCAGACACACAGCACAAGCAAGCCCATGCATACACTGCAAAAATAAAACAGGCATGGTGAAGCACACCTGTGATCCCAGAACTTGGGAAGCACAAACAAGAGGATCAGAAGTTCTAGGTCATCTTTGGCTATGTTCAAGCCACCCTGGGATGAAATTATGTCACAAACATACATAAAGTATTCTATAGTCAGGTGTGCCAGTACACCTGTAATGCCAGCTGTTAGAAGGCTGAGGTTAAGAAGGCAAAAAATTCTAAACCTGCCTGAGAGAGAAAAAGAAGAAAACAGAAAATACTTCACAGAATTGCCAAAGATTAAAGTTTATGTTTAGATCAATCTGAAGAAATTATGTTAAATTTACACAGAACAAGATGTCACAGGAAAGAAACCACACTGCTTCTTAATGCCGTGTGGCCTAAGTAAGAGGAAAGCTAGTCCAGAGCTTTGCTCTTATACTTTTACAAAGGCTAACGGCTTCCAGAAAGGAACCAGGGCTGGGTGTTATGGCTCAGTGGTACACATCTGCCTGGCAAACCTCAGACTCTAGGTTCAACCCCAGTAAGGTTAACTTTTTAAAAGGAAGGAAAGAAAGAGGGGGGTAGAAAGGAAGAAACTGATCAGGGTGTGTATGTATCAGAAGACAATTTTAGGGAATCAGTTCTTCCACCATGTGGGTCCCTAGAGTTGAGTTATAGGAAACCAGGTATGGTATGTATGGCTCAACATCTGTAACCCAGCATTTGTGAGGCTGAGGCAAGAGGATTGCTTGTGAATTTACGACCAGCCTAGACTGCATATAGTGAGTAATAGACCCAGCAGGGATACAAAATACTACTCTATCTCCAAAAAACAGTAAGAAAATCAGACTACAAAGCAGTCCTATATAAATTTCCTTCTGAGATTTAATTTCTTCTGCTTTTAAAACTTTTTTTTTTTTTTTTTTTTTGGTTTTTCAAGACAGGGTTTCTCTGTGGTTTTGGAGCCTGTCCTGGAACTAGCTCTTGTAGACCAGGCTGGTCTCGAACTCACAGAGATCCGCCTGCCTCTGCCTCCCGAGTGCTGGGATTAAAGGCGTGCGCCACCATCGCCCGGCCTTTTAAAACTTTTTAAAAATTAACTTTCAAAACAAAAATGACAAGCACTGTTTCTTAGCACAGAAACGCACTCTGCAGGAAGGTGATCAGAAAGACGACCCTGGGGACTGAAACCCTGCAGAGAGGACTGAGGAGCCTGTGAGTTCACCTGTCTCAGCACCAACTCAGAAACAACCACTTAGGCACACTCGACTGAAACTGTTAAAAATCAAAAGTTAACCATGTGAGAGAACTTTCCAAGAATGCCTAAGATTCTCCTTAAATGCCATAAGAATTCTTAGTAGAACAATTATTAGCATCCATATATTTAATATATCAGAATATCCC